CACTTATCATCACCCAAAAAGATATGGAAGGAACATACATTAATAGATCCAGCAAGAACGCCATTTGTGTAGGTATAACTAATGAGCGAAACCTGAGTAGCTCTCTTCTCAAGGAGCGGTTTCCCGTCAATCACGAGGGAGAAAAGCGCGAGGATATAGAGGAACAAAGAGTTCCTGAAAGCTTGACCGAGCATATTGAGTTCAAAGTCCTGATACGCTCTTGAAGTTGAGATGGTCGTGGCGAATGGTGAGCACTGTTCTTCTGGAAATCCATCCTGTTATATAAAATTTCAGCAGTCAGAAATTTCCTCTGATGTTCATCATACCCCGCAAGCAATAGCTGCTCACAGACATTTCCCCACATGCACATCTCGCGCAGGTACTGAATATGCTGATGCTCATCATCCTCCATCCCTGGTCCCGGCCGGCCGCTTGCTACGCGATGTTGGTACATAATATATATAGAGTAGAGTAGAGTTGAAGGTTATTCCGGCTCCAGGGGGCGAATTAACTTTGGCAAGGGAGTCGGAGAAAATTAGTAGTACTCACGAGTAACGCTGTGCGCCGAGGCTTTCATATTCCTGGCCTGTTTCTTAATCCATTTAGCCGCAACAGGCTTGGCCTCCGAATAATCCCTGCCTGCTCTCCAGGTACTTTAATACTTTATTCTCGTTTAAAGGTTTTTGGTACCTGCTGCGGTTAAGTTATTAAGGCGCCATAGTATTTTCGCGTGCGAAAACCTGGTGGTCAAGTATGCTTGGCTGGCCAGCTACGGTAGTACGCGCCAGGGTCCATACATGCCTAAGGCGAAAACGCAATCACACGTGTATGTCGGAGTCATGCAGTGGGGCTACATATGGGGCATCACGCTGTCACGCTCAGCGTGACAGGTCACAAAACGCGGGGGGGAAAAAGCAACGCCAACATGGGGCAACCTGGGGTATGGGGAAAAATAACGTTGAGATCTGAACCAGAGCGTCATGTCACTTCGGTTGAGTCCCGGAGCCTTGGACCGCGACTCCGTAAAACCCTGCAGGAATATATTGCGTTTATATTGCGATGCTGAAGAGTCTTGGGCAGCAGAATCTTAGGCTCGGAGCACGGAGTTGGGACGGCGCGACGGAGTCTGGATGTATTTGCTTTGCTTGACCGGGGTTACAACGCGGAGAAGAAGCTTGATTATGTTGCACAGCAGTGAGCCTCGCGAGATGAGGATGAGATAAGGATGAGATATACATCTACGGGTATTCTCCAGAACTGCAGTGAAGTTGGAGCACCCTGATGGCCAATAATTCAATTACTAAACCAGGATCAGGTTATTTAGTAACGCACATTGCAACTCTAATGATTTTATCCACCCGGTACTGCGACTTTCCGAGGAATAACACACCTGCAGGTGCCAAGAATTAGTACGCCTGATCTGGTGGACTGAGGTTACACGCAGGGGCATGCAATATATAAAATAGTCTGACCGGGGCTAATACTGCTGAAGAAACTGAAAGCCCGGCCGGCCTCACCTCTGCGAGTGATTTTGAGTCCGTAGTCTCGCCATTAGTAGCTGACCCTTCCAAAAAAGGTGGCGTTTGTTGGTGAGGACATTTACTTCCATTTAATATCGGTCTGGCCCGGGTATTTTAGCTTTATCGTGATCACGAGCGGAGTATGATTAAAGCCCATAAGGTTATTAATTCCAACAGTGTTTGATCAGAATATAATATGAATAGATCAGCTAACATAACATATATCCATAATATGCTTATTAGACTGCCGTTTTAAGTATTGGAGTCTGATTGCAGTTGACAAGACAACACATAATTGTGTGTGGTCTATCTACAGGGCACGTGATCGATTATATTGTTTTGTAGGAGCTTTATCAGATTCGCTGCTATACATGATTCAAGCTATAATCTTCGTATGAATAAACGGTAATCGTGATAAGATGCCGTATTAATCAATTTATCTATCCCTAGATCATTGGTCGAGCTGCCTCAAACAACTTCCGATAATGCGAGCTAGTCATTGGTCAACGGCAGGGAAAAGAGCTCCGCCCCGGCGATATAAAAATCCGCAGGTGCTGAAACAACCCAAAATTATAAGAGCTTGATATGGGGTAGGACCCGGTATCAGGTATTAAGAGCCAGGTTTATTTAACTGGCCTCGCATCGTCGGTTTCTGCAGCCGTATACATGGTGGTGTGGGGTACACGTGGCGTAACCCCTCACCCGCCCCTATATTTCCATCCTCTTTGAGTCAAAAGGAGGCCAAAAGAGGGACGAAGTATGCGCTGATATGCATGACAGATTAGCGGTTGTGGGACCATGTTTAAGGACGGATATATAGATCGATCTGAGCTTTTTCGGCTAGCTATAAAGCCTGTCTCCCTTGGATTTACTTCCGTGATACGTTACACTTTTGGACATTCGATCCATGCGTGATATTATCCTAGAGGACGACTAATGCAAGATGGCGCGCGAAGATTCTGACTCGAGGCATGATTGAATCGGGTCCTAGACCTTCTGTGTGGTTCACAGCTAAGTCGCGCAAGCGTGGGCTTAGTACATGACTCGAATGTGGAGACTCGATGAATTTGTTCATAAGGAGATAGTTCTCTGAAGCGGGGTGAAGATGGAGTAGATCGATGAGGTGATGAGCTGTCTAGGCCGTCTCCAGATCTTACTGTATCGTTCACACTCCACGCGTCCCCAGCAACCTAGCTCAGACACTACGATCCACTACCTATGGTAGCCACATATTCTTCAGTTGGTTTTAGGAAAACATCGGGGTTGTCAGGGTCTGTGATCCACGCTATTGCGCGGACCCACCTATGTTAATCTCCGAGTGATATCTCATGACGGGTTGTATAGTCTCATGCTGAAGGATACTCTCAACGAGTACTGGCGATGCCAAAGGTTGTCGGGGACGGCCTTTTTATTATACGAGTTAGCACTTAGTTGAGAGAAAGAAATGCGGCGGATAGTTCAGTGGTGGTATCATTCTGTAGCCGGCTGTCGTTCTCATCTTCACTTTGCCTCTCGGATAGTAGCCGAGTGATATTACATGACCGACCATTATTGTCTTCGCACCGCGAGCTCTAGAGTAAAACTTGAATCGGAAGCATGAGCCGTGTTCATGCATCAGGATATTAATAGCTTATATTTGGTTTATCGAGCACTTTTGATTATGGCGGGCCGGAAAGAGTAATCACAGAAGACCTACGTATGAGCTGAGGTGGTTGATCGAGACTGGGGTAGATGTCGTTGAGTATTGTAACACTTAAACTGTGAAATTCAATACTTGCTATTAGGGGTGAAAAGGATAAGAGTTGGGGAACGGTAATCGTCTAACGGCGGATCCGAGGTGTAGCGAACTTTGGTCTAGCAACTCTCACAATTGCGTTCGTAGAATCAACGACACATGTCTGTAAAGTATCGGTTTCTGAGAACAAATAAGTGTTGTACCGACAAAGAACCAACTGATACGGCTCCTCCCAGTATTGTCAAGTGCGGAATCTTGACGGACAAGGGTTAGCGAATATCTACTTGACATGTCGCAGGCATTTGAGAGCAGCGGATACCCTTGGAATAGTCGCGATACGTGTGAAATGGCAGGGGAAACTTTGGAAAGAAAATGGAGAGTGATGGTGAGAGCAAACAGAGTTGACTCTTGAGAGCAAAAAGTGAGAGCAAAAGGTAAAGGTAAACGGAAAGCATTGGTGAGAGCGGAGGTAAGAGCGAACAGCCAGAGCACTTATAACATAGTCTCAAGAACCAGCATAATCTATAGAATAATATCGAGCTTTAATTCAAATCTCATAATCTACACAAAAGCTAAACTAGTTTCGCAGTCAACAAAATGATTCGGTAGAGGCCTCGATGGTAAGTTAGTTGGAGGCCGATGCACCCTGATGCCAAGTATCTTCTCTTCAAGCCCCAAGACAATATCCCAACTTGATTCCAAAATGCCATTATAGCTGAGTAGATAGACAAGATGTTTCCGGTCATACTATTGTATAGAGACAGTAATAATATATACCATTTGCTTGTTTAACAAAATATATATTGATACACAGTATATGCTAGTAAAGGCAGCAAATAAAGTATCCATCCACATACCCTCCAGTTACTAAATACATCTTTCCTCCAAAAAACTAAACCAAAAAAAAACACTATATATCACTGGCACGGCAGCAGAACCAGGACCGGAGTTTCAACTGCCCTTACTTTACAGTTTCTTTGTTTCTAAACTCTGAGATCCACAACTACCACGCTACAAATTATTTTAAGTTTTACCCTGCAAGTATATTTCAATTCCGGATTGTTGAATTCTACCAAAACTTAAAGACAGGAATTAATCAGAGTTGTGTAGTACAATATATGTCTGGGAAATGCCATCGGAAAATATGTACTAAAGAGTGCAGTAGGGGAACGACATCAGGAAAGAAATCACTCGACAGGTAACGCGCCATTCTGCGCCCTTTGTCCGGTATATTCGCAGTAAGATGCATTAAATGATGCATTTACCGTACTAGGAGAGCCATTCGACTGCTTCAAAACGTTGCGAACAGATTACGGGCTCAAGACAGGCCATACCTCGCACACCGGGTCTGTTTCCCTTTAGGATTCTCCAGCACGATATCAATGGGCTGCAGGAAACATGGGAATAAACGGAATAATTATATAGATATTTATATTGGCTGATTTACGTAACCCTGCCCCCCTCCAGACATGATCCGCCGTCAGCGAGTCTATTGGCGTGTTTGTATGGGTCTCGTCGATTTAGATATAGGAACTTTGATTTCAATAAGGCCTACGAGAGTTCTGTTTCCTTTTGTTGATATTGCTTAAATGTCGACCGTAATCTCACTCGCGCATAGCTCACCATACCACGGGCCTCAGTAAAAGCGCCCGATCATCCCCGGCCCGCGCCACAGCGCACGCCCGCCGACCCCATGCCCCCAAAGCCCCTATAGCAAAACATGTCTCATTACTACCTACCCATCGCTACCAATCCACGACCCACTCCCCCTCCTCCAAACCCCCCGCATCAACCCACTCCTCCCTCATCTCCACATACGCCGTCCTCCCCCCACCCCCCACACTCCCCACCGCCCCCACCACCTCCCCGGCCCTCACCACCTCCCGCGAAAACGTAACCTCGCACCTGCGGTCCCCCGTCCACTCACCCAGATACGCCGCCTTACCCACAACGCTGGCGGCGTCTCGAGACACGCCTTCGACCGCCGGGAAGAGCGACGTGGTGAATGTGTGCGTTTCGGCGTAGCCGAGCCAGACGGGCGTGGAGGAGGACGCGGGGTGGAGGAGGATGAAGATCTGCAGCGGGGCGATGCGCAGCGGTTGGGCGGTGTCGGCGAGGTCGTCGCAGGAGACTAAGCTGTGTTAGATCGGTTTGGGTAGGTTATGTTGGGGAGGGGTTTTTACTGATTGTGAGGGGCTTTGTGAGGCGCCAGACGCAGGTTTGGGAGGCGAGTCCTGGGGGAGGCGGCGGCGGCGGCGGCATGGTGAGGTGAGGTGAGGCGGGTTTGCGGTGATATATTGTGATTATGCAGGTTCTGCAAGAAGCTGCAGCTTGAGTGAAGCTTTCGCCAAGGCACTGATAGTGCTTTCTTGGCAGACGCATACGTACGAAAAAGGTTCATGGGACATCACTCGCTCACATGTCATTCCCGTCGGCATTATCATTACCCCCTCGGAACCCGCAAAAGTAATAATCGAAAAACACATGAAAAACCCCATTATCTATATAGCCGACCCACCATATGTCTCAAACTGCAAACAACACGCCAAAACCCCACAAAGCAACCACAGCCCCGCACTCGCATATATCGGCACAGTTGTGAACCCCGTATTCGCCGAGATAATCCTGGCATAAACCAGGTATCAGTATAGTTAACTTCCTTATGATTATATTGCCAAGCGAAGGGAAAACATACGGCGCGAATACCCCCATAATTCTCACTAGGCACGACGCGATGCCATTACCCGTGCCTCGGTGTGGTGCCGGCAATGACTCGGCAGTGTATGTGTACAATATGCTTAACTAAGTTAGCATATCTTGCTTCTTCGCATAACCAAATGAAGCTCACGCATAGCTGAAGTTTCCAAGGATGGAGACCGCGCATTGAAACCCCAGGTCGGCTGCCTCACTGGCGGCCATCGTGTACAAGAATAGAAACACTCCAGAAACCGTGAAGGCCAATGCCATTGCCCATCTCCGGCCCAGGCGGGTCTCAATTAGGTAACCCGCAAGGAATGGGCCGGTGAGGCCGACTATGGAGACAATAAAGTAGTTTTTGTAGACACCATTTTGGGTGTTCGTTGTCTAGAAGTTCGTCAGTCGTACGCGTGGAATCAAGTTGGGGAGCACCGGTGGGGCGGCATACAGTGAATCGTGCGGCGAGATAGCTTGGAAGAAAGCTAAAATATAACGGCTGAAAGCGTGCGCATTTGTTAGCACCCCGCAGTCCGACCCACGAATCGAGGGCGGGGTTCTCACGAAACTGATCCCAACCGCAGCCCAAATAGTCCACAAGACAGTACAGTGAACCCCCATCTTCCTCGTTGAAAAGAGCGCCCTAATATGTATACCCCGATAGTCCTTCACCGACGCTACCACCACACCTAGCACACTCCTTTTCTTTTTCTCGCCTTCCACAGAGCTAGGCATCCCCATGCGTCTATCCACAGCTTCAAAGTCCGCAATTGTCAAAGGCGAAACCTTCCCGTTCTTCCGCGCAACGTATTCCACCGACGCCACCGCTCCCGCATCATCTCCAACAGCGATCAAATACCGCGGCGACTCCGGGATGCCGAAGACCGCAATACGGACCACCGCGAAAAGAAGCGTGAGCCCGCCGAGTGTGATCAACATGTACCGCCTACGCCAAAAAACACCCGTGTCAGCAACCCGCGCGCACATAAATCAGCTATAGCTAGCTGGCCGACACAGCATCCGCACATACCAGCCCATATTGTCCTCCCATCTGCACCCACCCTCCTCACCTGCCACACACGAAAAGTGAAGAAGCAACCCCCATCCCGCCACCGCAGCAATAATCTGCCCAACACACCACATGGCCGATAAGAGCGTGAGCAACCACTGCTGCCCCGGCGGTATAAACTCCAGAAAGATGAGCAAGTCCACCGGCACGCCGCCGCCCGCGCCAATCCCCGCGAGCGCCCAAAATGCGCAGCACGTTTCAAAATTCGGAGACGCGGCGGCCGCGCAGCAGAAGATCCCGGATATGAACAGGGTTATGTTGAAGGCCGGGCTAGAGGTTTTAGAACAAACCATGGGGAGCTAGGGTGGGTAGCAGGCTTACCGTCGCCCTATTATGTCGCAATTGATGCCCCAGATTGTGGCCCCGATAGTGAGCCCTACGTAGAAGCTGCGAGAAGCCGTCAGTGACTACATTGAATAACTATAGCCTAGGACGGGAGCCATACGCTACAACGAGATAGCTGACGCGGGCTGGATTGAACTCAAGGGCTATGGGTGTCAGTGATAGAGATAGCCCTTGTATTAACATATTGTCCGTAGCCCATCTAAAGCGCTCACCTCTGATAAGCCTAGGTAAACCAGATTGTACGCGGAGAAAGACAAGACTCACCCAAATCCAGTAACGAGTAATAGCCGCCATTGATACCGCCCCATGCCCATCTCTGAGAACGCTTTGCTAACCAGTTCGGACTTAAGACGATAGGCATCGCTTACAGTGCTGTCGCGATCGCGTTCCGGCCCCGCAATACATGGTTCTTGGGTTGAGGGAGCGCTACTCACGTCGGTAGATGTTGGGGCTGGTTTTTCCGCCATTGTGGACCAGGAGAAGCGTAAGGCAATCAAAATGGGTGGAATGCTTCTTATGAAGTCTTTCTCAGAGAGAGAAAGAAGGGAAGTACACCCAAGATGCGTATCTCCACGTGCGGCGGTATCTCAGCAACAGGTTACACTCCCGGAGCGAGGCGGCATGCAAGGAGGATTACGTGAGGTTTCAGCTCGGGCCTGTGTTACTTCTTTTGAATAGGGCAGGTCGATATCATATATAGGATCTACGGAGATCAGCCTAGGATGCGCATTTGGGAGACCGAGAGAGAGCTCACGATCTCCTTGCATACAGCTGCCGTCCTGCGCCGATGGATATGTCGATCTATCCCGTTGTCGGCCGGATCTTGCAAGGACCACATCGAATCATCTACGAAGATAGATAAGACTTTAAATGGGTGGTATATAGACGACAGAGTCTGTCTGCTGCATAGCTACTGTAGGCAACCACCGGCTCCGAAAGAATTCTCCGGAAATCCTCATAGGCTAAATATCTAGCCAGAAATACGATCCATTCGCACGAATTTGCCGGCCGCATGTACCAGATTCAATACCTGGAGGCGATCGACACTAGAACGGCAGGTTGAAGCTTTTATCTCGGGCATGCTAACTAAAATGGGGCTTTTTTAGTAGCTTTTACTAGCCTGTGACTTGGCATCAGCTGAATTATTAGAGCCAATATTAATGACGAGGTGGAACATAGGTAAAAACCCAAGCATTCCGGATTAGATACTGTCCAATATATATAAAGGCCGTACTTCGCGTTATTGAAACCTGCCCTCTTAATAAATCTCCCTAGGTAGCTTGCTCATTACCAGTCGATTCTTGGCGCAGATTTGTCGTTCGTCTAAGCAGACTTAAACCTTATAAAGTCTTGGGTCAAGTTACACGAATTATTAGCTATAGACGAATGTCTTGGCTTGGGGGAAACACCTAGTACTTTACCTCATTTCCTTCCTCGAATATCGTCTGAGCCTACGGCTAATAAAGTGGCTATACAATCAGGTAGAAAAGAGAAAACTTAGTCAGCTGATACCAACATATATACATACAAGTGGAATGCAGCCTCCGGCCTCGAATTAGCTAAAGCCTAGGAGAGTGAAATAGGACTGTCCAGTTTATTTACGATTTCTGAGTGGATATTTTAACGCCCAACCCACCTACGAAGTCAATTAACCATGATATCTATAGATATATATCAACAGCCAGTGGAAACTACCAACCTATGAAAGTGGATGCCTCATATGTTGCATCCCTTCCGACCTCGGGAGTAATAAGAGAGTCTATCAAGCAGAAATTTGATCTTCGATGCGGTCCTCTAATCATAAGGCGTAAGCCTAATAATGTGAAGAGAATCTGAGGATCATTGGACGGATGCGGCAACATTAAAAGGGAAACTGAAACGTGATAGCACTAGAGCACCAGTTGGTACATAATGGGCCCCAGCCCAACTAATCTCCTGGACTTCGAAACCCTTTTTATCTCCCTCTGGATAGCGATGGTCTGTTCGTGGGCAAAATTGGTTTCTCTGTGCACCAGTGACCGAATTTAGACCACCCCCCCCCCCCCCCCCACCACAATTTCTGGTGTGACAGAACTTTATAGGCGGCACGCCCCACTGAGAAATATTGCGGATAGTAGATGTTGGTGTTGGAAGTCATTCTGCTGCTGTCACTACGATGATGTAGATTCGATCTATTAATCCCTTGGATTGGTGGTTAGCCCGCCGGCTAGCCTCAGTCCTTTTGTGTTGACATAGACTAGATGAAGCTGTACGTGTGCGTATATAACTAGAACCCATGGTCCGCCACGCTCCATCATAAGCTACTTGAACTGGGTTTACAACCCTTACCAAACCCTCTATATATTTACGTCTTCTTGGACCCAGGGAAGGAAGGGTGACGATTCTCCTCGATGGAATCTTTCTTTGGATTATATGATTCACAAGAGAGCACAAACCGCAAACTTCATTAACTCGTACAGCTCATGTTCTAACCTTTGATCATGAGCATTAGAGAAAGATAGGTTAATCGCACCATATAAAGGCATCGGGTAAGATGATGGATTTCGACCCTAAAATGTATAAAACCAAGATTAGGGCAGGCGGTACTTGCGTACAAGCTTCATGCTCCCAAAATAGTATTAGTACATACCTTCAAACTGTATATATATCCATATAGGAATCTCGTCATATGACCGTTTGCAAACGGCGAACCCTCCGCCACTACGCCAGCGTCCATACTTAAGGTAGATAACTGTCGATTGACCTACTACCTGGTAAACTCAGAGGTGGCTCATTCGTCAGTGGATGAAAGAGTACCTGGATATATATCTAATTTTTAGACGTCTTCTTAATGATCTTTTCTAAATGTGAAGGGACTAGCCTTGATTGAAGCTGTCACAGTGTTTTTACGGATTAGAAAATTTGAGGGTGTACTAGATTGGTTCTACTTACAGGTAATGCCTTGAGGTGCAGCCGTAGTATACAAATCTCACGCTATACCTATTCTGTTAGAAACCCGGCCCCGTTAGAAACAGGGCCCAAATTCAATAATACACAGATCAAAAATATGTTCGGACTCCAAATGTCTATCAATCTGGCAGGAGGTTGCTAGGTATTCTATTAGGTTTTCGCTATTTAAGATATGCCAAGCACGGGCTTACACCTTCCTACTCACGTCTCTAAGCAGGCGCCATTTATTATCATGCTGATAATAAACCCAATACAGAAGGCTTTAAAAGCCTCTGTTTTCTGTTCGAGACTCATCTTATGAACCTGTGCTCAAAATTGGGTTCCAGATCTATTGTGAGTTCGAGAAAGTACGATCGAAGTTTTTATTAATGTGAACATATTAGGTCACCGCCAATGATATGGATCCTGTTCTTCTAAGCATATAAGTTGAAATATTAACGAGGATCTGTGGATAACGAGCGGGAAGGTAAAAGTAAAGATGTTTAATTGACTAGGGCATAGTATGCCAGGCGCTTATATATATAACCATTATAGCGGATATATATCTGTCATTTCTCATAATCCAATGATAGTACTGACATTAAAATAACTACTTGTGTATCCCCACAGCCCCAGAAAGTACCATATCAGATTCTCTATATCAGGTTCTCTGAACTGAGCCTCGAGTGCGAATCTGTGACGCGGTCGAAAATCTTGGCATTTCTCTTTTCGTTTTTGAACCTGATTTGTGGGCTGTTCGGGGACAGAACAGGAATTCTGCTGTAGAATACCACGTTAGATAGTGAGATTTTGATTAACTCCGCTTTAGCCCTAGTTTCCAGTTGTTGATATAATACTCGAGCTCCGAATCTCATTAACCTGCAGTGTTGCGAATCAAACTAATCACCACACCATATGTTGATGCCTTATATAAGAAGCTTAATAGACTCACATATAATCGTTAAGTTATATGAAATACGCCATCTTCTAATCTTGATACATGGGAGAGTGATACGTGCTTCTGTGCTTGCTATCGATATATATCCGAGCCAGGCTTGCGCTAAAGTAAAATATATCGGCGATCAAATGGGTGGGCATGTATGGGTACTTTCAAGTCCATTGTTTAGTCTTAAGCGGCCGTAAGCCGTCTCGTCCCATAAGGTTTCATTTGCAGGGTTATAGAGAAGAAGAAAAAGCTAAAATAGATTTCCACGCAGATCTACAATGGTGTATTAGATCCGTAAGACGCCAAAGTCCCTGAATATTAATCTATGCTGACGCGGGAGATCTAGAATAGCTGTTGATCATGATCTATAGCTATATATGTGACCTAGGTGGTTGTGCGACACGGGTAGGGTAACCGAAATCTAGTTCCCGTCTTGCATGGGTTATCACTCGATGCATGAATACAGATGCTGAAGATCCGGATATCCCGAGATCGCCAAAATTAAAGGTTAAAAGGAAAAGATCTCCCGTAAAATACTTACTCCGTTCGGATCCGGCCCAACATATATTCATGCTGTAGGCTTGAAGCGACCCCTGAGAGATATTTAATAGTAATTAATTTTGCAGCCGGTACGGTACGTACGCGTTAGTACTGATTGTATATATATACGTATTCTATGTAGTTGACTAATCAACAACAACACATACCTGTTTGCAGACATTAACATTCTTCAGCAAGTACCAGATCAAGTATTTACCGTATTATCCAGCTGCCAGGGCCCATCACCCTGACAGTTTTTGAAATTCTCGAACGAAATAGGTGCATACATGTAGGGTCTTCTTTCTAGGATGGATTCTGATACCGCGATGATTGTGATATATCACAAAGTGTAGATGAGTGATCGATTCTGAGCCGTGTTTTCGTAGGCCTAATAAGGTTCTAGTGGTACTAGCTAGTTTAAGCTGTAACCCACGTGGCCACCCAATCAAGCAACAGTCGATCCGGTCTCGAACACGTCCGGTATCGTGAAAGGACAAAATCGCGGATGATCACCTCCTCATCCTTTCCGGGCTGCAGGTCCGCATCTGATGGAGAAGGGGCCCTAGGTGAAAACACATTACAATTGCTTGTACACTCAATCGTGTCCCGAAAGTTCGGATCACACCAGAAACACACGCCCTTTTGACACCGGGCGTCTGGTTATGGGGCTAGTCCGATATTGGTAGCTGGGAGATCTTCGAAAATCGGGTGCTGAGCCCGTGGGTATGTACTGATTCTTAATCGGCATGTCCGGGCGGTTGAGCATACAATATAGGCAATCTCCGATTGCATTATCGTTTAATATTGGCCTTAAATAATGATTCGAGATAAGCAAAGACATCTGCATCGAGTTGCCTTTTCCTTGATACTCCGGCTTGCGGACAATTCCCTTAGAAAAACGCACCCGAGAGTTTCATACTGTTATATTGTTGTTGACCACACTTTGTTATGATTTGGATTAAGGGAAAATATACTCCCCATATCCGGAAAATAGTGGCCTGATAATAGGTTGACAACATTCACTAACTGCATACGGTACGTTAGCGAATGGGATACACAAGCATAGGTCGCCAGGTGAGGGAAGCGTCGAAGCGCACGTGCTTTTTTTCATGAGTCTTAGTCAAATTTCCGCGGAATTCCATAACGAGAAATATCAATGTTAATACGCCCAAAGAGTTCCTTATCCTGGACCTGCGGTATTTGGTAGTTGATGTAGCTAGTTTGATTGGGGTCCCAGCACTTCTTTAACCCCACGCTGTCGAGTTCCGAACATTACATCTCACTCCCAAGTTCACCCCAACACGAGAACGCCTTCTAAATAAAATTTAAAGGTATGAAACTCACACTCAAGAATTCTAGATCTTAATAAGGTATTCGGATCCAGATCCAGGAAAGAACGAGAAAGTTTAACCTCTCAAGCTCAGGACTATTGGTATGTGGTAGCGCCGTACAAAGATGTCTTCCCACACAGGCTTTAACCTCCTAGATTATAGGTCCTCGTTCCTACACCGAGTACCCGCAATTTGCTGGTTTTCGGCCTTGTAAGTAAAAAGGGATGTAAGGTGTCAGCTACACGAGTGTGTTCGATCCTATATAGTGACCTGACTGATAGAGAAGACGATCGATGAGCCATCATACCCACAACACACAAGACATGTAAGGAATATGGGAGCTATGTATTCTTGCAGAAGCGTTGATGAACCCCAGTTAACCGTGATATAAAGTGTTGGGTAGGATTGCAATTATATCTATTTATTATGATATATTGTTAGTGCAAGTTCATTGAGAGTATATCGTACATGTATCCAGCTTGGATACATGTGTACATATAAGGCGTTGGCTCGCGATCGAAACATACCGTCTGAAATCGAGTGCTATGCAACACCTACGTATGGTATTGAAGCGAATATATCAAGTTCCTAGATGCAATATATCTAGATTTCTCGGCCCAGTACTTGGCTGCTGTCAAATATTTGGCGATATACTCTATGCAATCCTCCAAATGGTCCGATTCAAGCGGTGATAATAGTGGGTAGGATCATGGATACACATGTTATGGCTAGAGGGTCGATGCCAATATTGTTCGTATCGGTAGACTGGTAAACGAATAAGACACGGTTAATGTAACGAATATATAAGGTTCTAGGAGGACATATTACGCATGTGTAGGTACACGCAGTTAATTAGGTAAGTACGTTCATGTGGCACAGCCGGTGGCTGGGGAGGCTTGTAAGTCAAGCTCAAGTGTCAAGACACGTACATGTAGGTATCACACAGCACCCGAGTCACCATAATTCCTTTACCGATATATAGAATGATTCATCTCAAAATAACCAAGATAAATATCTGTGTACGATCAATTTTTGCTTTCGCTAACAAAGCCAGGCTTCAATAAAAAACCTTGAACTACAAGTAGCAGCACATGTATTCGTGCTACAGCACAAAGTGGATGATATGCACGTACTTTTCAGACAAGGATGAGGCGGCGGTCACTACTCCCCGCTCAGATCAGGAAATTAAATTTCCTCCTATGAGAATAAAACTGGGTGCAGCTGTAAGTATCTCCTTTACATGTTTTGATGAGAATATATAACTAGATCTAAATTGTAGCTTAACATTTTGAGTTCCTGAACAACACACGTATACATATAGGTGATTTCGATTACCGGATAGAGGGGAAGGCACTCTCTAACTCTAGATTGGAGATGAATGTGATCTCATTCTAGAGGCAATCTCACATCTTTGTGACCGTGAAAACCTTAAACAATACGGACGTACGTAGAATATGCGTTGTTATCGAATCATGATCAGTACCGTATCTGACATAGATAAAGAACTACCTATCAATTATAAGGGTGAGTTCCTCTAACTCTTTAAGGCCGGGGCTGCCCTGTATTTATTAAACACATGCACATGTAGCTATAGGTATATATAGCTAGGTAGGGCTTATATACCGAAACTTATGAATGAGAGTACTCATCTAATCTTCCACATTACAGCACCTATCTACTATCCCTTAAGCTGTTACTTGAATGCTGCCAACATGAGACATGGGAACACCAGGCGAGCTTCGCACGCAAGCCACAGAATTGAGACATGATACTTGGAAAAGTTGGCAGCTTTAACAGCGTAAGGGATACTTCGGGCTATTCCTTCTACTCTACCATAATATATATCAAGAACCAATCGTATTAGGCCGGGGATGAGCCTTGCTTGGGCAAACAGCCGGGCGCCAAGGAGATCACGTGGCACTTCCGCAAAGGTTCCTCCGAAGTAATGCCGAAGTGTGACCGAACAACCGTCAGAACGTTTTTCCGTGCTGGGGGGAAACATAGGGATCCCCCCGGCATTCCGGCTTTAGAATAATAGTGATAACAACAGTGAAAAGTACAGCGGGGCAATACAGCGCGAGTCTCACATGAGAAAGCCCGTTGGCTATATCGCAATGGGCCAGCTAAGAACTGGAGAAGAGAAATTCCGCACAGTATAAGAAGAAGAAGCCGCGGCTTTCTATTCCTGTTAACCGGAAACAAACCCACGAACCCGCAGACCGACATCAAATGTTTTCACGACTACTAACGTCAAACATCTACAATGAGCTTCTGAGAAGCGTAAACAAGATGATTATGAGGACAGGCACCAAAGCCTTAGACAGTGACCCGCATCGTGCGTGGTGGAAAGAGGCCTCGGTGTATCAGATTTACCCATCGTCTTTCAAGGACTCAAATGGTGACGGATTAGGAGATATCCCGGGTATAATAGAGAAATTAGACTACATGAATAGTCTTGGGGTTGACGTTGTGTGGCTTTCACCAGGTCAGTAATACAGCTACCGTTTCTTACAATTACTAATACACCTCTTAATACGCGGAACTTATATGCCCATACTCACAGCGCACAGTATACAAATCGCCGCAGGTAGACATGGGGTATGATATTTCCGACTACTACGATATCGATCCCCGATATGGGACCGTAAAAGACATAGAGACATTGGTCAATGGTTTGCATTGCCGGGGCATGAAGTTAGTTATGGACCTTGTGGTGAACCATACTTCGGATCAAGTCGGTTAAATTACAGCCATCTTTAAATATGTGTGGTATATAGTTGGACTTATTCTAATATTGATCCAATAGCATGACTGGTTTGTTGAATCTAAGGCCTCCAAAAACTCTCCAAAAAGGGATTGGTACATTTGGAGACCCGCAAAATATGATGCGGATGGGGCTAGGAGACCTCCGAATAATTGGAGTTCAATTTTTGGTGGTATGTAATATCACCACACCCTCATTTACTTCAATACTTAGAAATTTGTTTCATAATTCTATAGGGAGCGCTTGGAGATGGGACGAGCACACACAAGAATATTACCTCCACCTCTTTTGTCCAGAGCAGCCAGATCTTAATTGGGAGAATCCCGCCGTCCGCGCTGCCGTATATGACGCTATGTCCTTCTGGCTGAATAAAGGCGTCGATGGTTTTCGTATGGACGTTATCAACCTCATCAGCAAAGTTCCGAGTCTCCCGGATGCGCCGGTGACACTACCAGGCGAGCCATGGCAGCCGGGGACGCAATATTATGCAAATGGGCCGCGTATGCACGAATTTTTGCATGAGATGAGAAAGGAGGTATTGGATAAATATGACACTATGACAGTGGGCGAGATGCCATGGATTAAAGAGCCAGGAGAGGTGTTGAAAGCTATCGGGAGAGATCGGAAAGAGTTGGATATGGTTTTCCAGTTCGATATGTATGGAATCTAAAGATCGACGGCTCATCGTATCACGGCTGGGCTAACTGAGTGACAGCGTTGATATGGATCTTGGTGCGTCGGGAAAATTCACAAAGCACGACTGGGATCTAAAGGAGCTAAAGGGTATTGTTAACACATGGCAAACCTTCATGCAAGAACACGACGGATGGAATGCACTTTTCTTGGAGAACCACGATCAGCCGCGCTCGGTCAGTCGCTTTGTGACTGATAAGCCCGAATTACGAGGATATGCAGCAAAGATGCTAGCCACATTTTATGCGTTACAAAGAGGGACCCTATATTTGTATCAAGGGCAGGAATTGGGGATGTCTAATCTACCAAAAGATTGGGATATTACGGAGTATAAAGATGTGGAAACTCTTAATCATTGGAATCAGTATGTTGATGACCGTATATTATGTGTTGATGATCATGCTAAGCGTGCTTTCTCAAAGGGTTCTCGAAGAGAGAGGCGGCAATGAGGGAAATATGGATGATGTGATGGAAATGATTCGATTTCGAGCTCGTGATAATAGTCGAACTCCTATACAAGTGAGTTACTGTGAAAACATAGCTCAATCTTTCGTAAAGAGAACTGACATGTCATTAGTGGGATGATTCCGCCAATGCCGGGTTTACCACCGGAAACCCATGGATGCGTGTCAACGACGACTATAAATCCTGGAATGCAGCTCAGCAAATATCTGATAAAAACAGTGTGTATAACTATTGGCGCTCACTTCTAGAGCTCCGCAAAGGCTACGAAAAATTATTCATATATGGTCATTTTAAGATGCTGACCTTGGATAACCAAATGGTATTCGCATATCAAAGAGATTTCGGGGGTGCAAGGGCTGTAATTGTTTCAAACTTTTCTGCAGAGGCAATTTCTTGGTCAACGGAGGATGAGGGATTAGACTTAAAGACCGCCGAGCGAATTATGGGAAACTACGATGACTCTCAGATCAATGATGGGGTTCTGCTTCTGAGACCACTGGAATGTGCGGTATTTATCTTTTAAACCATGTGCAGTTTGCACGACCTTGCGAGATGGTATATTTGCTTCTCTAGTCGGCTCGGGGACTCCGGGGAGGGTTGAATTATGGCTTTTTCTTTCCTTTTTATGATTGACGTTTCAGTGGACGTGGTACGGCTTTTTCTTCTAGTTTCATGTAGCCATCCGTTATACATTATAACGCAATACATATCAAAATTATGAGAAATTCAGACGAACACATGTTTTTGATTGTCATAAATCAACTATAAATCCTGAATATGACCCTGTAAGGTCCCTTCAAACAGCTTCGTTGGGCCTGCATAAAGCTACATGCAGGGGGAAAGTCTATTTCAACCGCAGTTTATCAATAAGTTGCTTTTTTGGACTGGCTTACTTGGCATGGAGAAGCATCCTACGCAATCAGAAGCCATCACAAGCAAGCCACTACTAGCCTACTGTCATGGACCCCGCGCTGGAGTTCCAGAATTCCATACTTGTGACAGATCAGACAACTTGGCTTGGTAGCGAGAACGGTGTGGATTCTATGTGTGCGCGAACTCTATTGACAGCCAGCCGGTCGTGGACGAGGAAGGGAGAAGTTTCTATATTCCAAACCTGATGGGTGGTGGACCAGAGCCTTACTCAGATCAAGGCCTGGATAAAGCAGGTGGATACCTACTGCACCTAACTACCTACTCTACGCGCACCAATCTTAAGGGAGCACGGCCAGTATGCATGCATTCGTACAGCACTTGTACCTACATGTACTCAAACCGAACTTAGGCTAATAATTTCCATGCAGCCACCTCTGTTTTGAAAGGATTAGCTCAAGCTGACTTAACCACGAATGCATTGGCTGCATAGAACCCCCCCCCTATGTAACTGGTACAGTTTACCCCGGAGTAGACTTGCGCATCCCCCGTTGACTCTCATCACTCAAAGAAGCATCTATCTTGCGGGGTAAAGCTGTAAGCCATATTATTACAGGGGTCCCATTACACACCTATTCACTCTCTGCCCCTGGTTTTGCCTACAAGATAATTTCCCCGCGTCAAAGAATTCCAAGTCGTCATCGATACTATACGATACAATACCACTCTGCTCCGTTGTTCTACTTTCGCCCTCTTCCGAAAACAAAAAAAGGTTCTTACTGCTTCCCAAGCTCCTCAAACCATGCAGCCGAGTGGCTCTCGCAATGTATCAGTTCTAAGGCCGGAGCACTAACAATGTTCCCGTTCCCGTAGGCATCTGCTGTTGGTGTAGAGGCGAGGCCGATAACTACATACCTCCCTTCCCCCGAGAGCCCCAACAGCATCCGAGACGATCTTTTATGGAAAGATATGTCGGCATTTACAATACCCACTACCAACAATCGAGCCTGTGATTGCTGTAATAGACGAAAGGTCAAATGCGATAGGGGGCAGCCTTGTCAAAGCTGCTTTCGGGCAGAATTGGCTTGCACCTACGCCACAATACCCAGAAAAAGAGGCCCGAAAGGACCCGCGGCGAAGAGAATATACGCCATCAAGCAGGATCAACTACAGACAAGGGAGACAGCAGCGAGAGCCACACCAGAGGAGGTGGGCAAACCGAGAAACTACTCGCGTTCTCCAAGCCCTGATGCTGATGAGCAGGTGGATACCACCGATTCACTCCTCCTTCAGTTCATCCCACCTGGCTCGAGTATTGGTGATGTCCAGTTTGATCCTACTTCTCTCTTTACGTCGTTTTTACGGTTTGATCATACACCGAACATCCACTCAGGAATCTTTGAACCGCATCCGATGCTTGCGCGCTCGTCAATCGATGGATGCTTAGAGTTATTTTTCAAAAACATGTACCCAATCATGCCCATCCTTCATAGAGAATCATTCGCCGTGCGACTTGCGAACTACCAGTCCGAACCAGAACTATATGCACTTGTATGCTCCCTATGCGCCATGACGATGATACAGCTATTCACCACTCCCGGCAACCATAGCGACCTACTATCGCCAATCTGCGAAGCACTAATTTCAGAATCATTAAGAGCAAGGAAATATTGCGACTACATCGGATCAACCTCTACCGAAACTGTCCTAACCTCTTTCTTCCTCTTTTGTTCATACGGGAACCTTGAAAAGAACAACCATGCCTGGTATTATCTCAGGGAATCTATATCTTTTGCGCAATCTATCGGGATGGATGACGAAAAGAGTTATATAAATCTTGACGTGGTCGAAGCCCAGCAACATCGGCGCATATTTTGGCTTTTATTCATTACCGAAAGGTGTGTCTTAACCCTACCTTATTTACCTGCTTATTTAATCGTATGATGTTTTTTTTCTCGGTAAATACCCCGAACTAATCCAAACTCCTCACCCCCACAGAGCTTATGCGCTGCAGCGCCACCGGCCCCTCGGCTTGAGAAAAACTATATCCCTCCCTTCGCCCGACGATTCCCGCGTCGACCCAACTCTACTCAGTAACTTCATCACCCTTGCAATGCTATTTCAAAACGTCGATCATTCTTTCCTCGATCTATGGAACGAGGGGGACGATAGTGAGTTTTCGGATAGCATGACCCTCAAACTTCATCAACAGTTACGGTCTACGATACCACCCGTAACTGATGCAATCAGGATTCAGAAAGCAGATATACTTGTAAGCCAGCAATGGCTACATCTGCTTGTGTGGCAGCTGAGTCTGATTAAAGGATGTTTGTCGAGTATGGCACCGGTCGAAACCATGAGGTTACAATTTCCGGTTACAATCGCGAAGAGTGTTTTGGATGTTACATCGCGAGTATCTGTAAATGATTTGGAAGCACACGGTATCGGAATGGTACGTAGAATTAATCTTTCTAATAAAATAATAAGATCGCGCCATATTAATCTAACTATTCACATGCACAAGTAATAAACGAAGAAAATACAAATGCTGACCTCACGCAGCAGGAGAAGCTATTCGATGTCGGATGCGCTCTCTCGGATGTTATAGTCTGTGTTCCAGACCTTGCTACTATATCAGCATTCGAAGTGAGCCCTAAAGATTGCCTTCATGAACTAATAGCCACCCTTGCAAATCTACGCGGAGGTCATTCCCGTTATTTGAATGCATTGATCGCGAAAGCAGATGGCGTCCTGCAACTAAATTCGCCATCGGCTACAACCTTCCAGCCCTATCTAATGGAAACCAATGATGACCAAGAAAGTTCCGAAAATGAGAGGTCCAGAACCATCTCACCGTCTGACTCCGATAACCTGACGGAGATTCTGTATGTATAACGGTTGATCTGTTTGCACGGGCAATCTTTTCTCCGGCTCTGAAATTCAGGAAGTCTTCATGGAAATACTCCCCGCTATGGATCCTGGAAATTTTGTGTTGTGCCTTTTCTGTTCTTCTTTCAGATTAACGAGGAGGGCATATCCTTTTGATGTCAATGATGTTTATTGTATCACTATTTTCATAAATTTGCCATTCAGTAATCTTGATTCTACTGTCGATGAAGGAAGACGGCATCGGCAGATGGTATTTCCGGCAGACTAAATGGAGCAGATGTACCAAGATCTGGGACGGGGATTACAGATTTGTGATCAAAGAAAACAGCGGCTACTACCAAATCTACACTATCTTCGGGACTGGTGGGACACGCCATTTAGAGGTAATACTGACTGGGTATATACTATATCTGATACTGTAGAAGAAACTCAGGATAACGCGATGCACTGTGGCGGCATAATCTATCCATCAAAAATTCAAAGTTTAGAAACCTATCAATAGAAACATCTCTCTTAAACAACTCTATCGAGTCGTTTGAACCTTCCAAAGAAGAAAATCGTATCCCGAAGGCTCTACCATTGATTGGATCTTGCCAAATCACCAGCACACACTGGCTCTACGTTTTCTTAGTCATCCAGCTCCGAGTGACTTTTGATGAAAAACGCACCTGGTTACTGCAGATCACTTGAAGCAAATAACCAGGAACACGAATCCTAACAGAGTTTTTGACGATCGAAACGCGTGGGTATCAATTATCCCGCCTATGGCAAGCATGGGTGCACGCTTCTCCGCCCGGGCCCAGCTCTGGCCGAAATCCACAACACTTGCTGCATTTCTTCAGACGTGGCATTTTTCCCAATGAAGCGCCGCGCTCGGCAGTTGCTAAATGACTTATGATGAATGAGAATGCTGTACACTTCATCATTTCCCCCATTTCCCCCTGCTCAGCTTGCTGCCTTGTAAAAGGAAGACAAAAAAGCAATTTCTTTTTTTTTTCCTTTTTCCATCCTTTTTTCCATTGCTAACGTATGTAGATGCAACTACCGCCTTTCCTCAGTACATACATTGCTTCAAGATCCCGGGTACAGGCCAAACATACATATATGTAGTTTAGAACGGCTGTGCGAAGACAGGTGGCGCATAAAAAGCGAGTCCTTCTCATTGGCTTTGTCCATGTATTTGTTACCGCTGCCAGATTGGGCTTGCAACAAGGATACCTTGGCGCCTCCTTTGCACTGAATGCACGATTGGTTTGAACCCGGGATTTTACCTCGATATCATGGACCGGGGCGTTCGGCAGAGTATCAAAAGCTCTCGGGTAGCCAAGCCGTTAAAATGATGCCCATCCTAGTCATATGAATTGAGACCAGCTGAGAATAACTTCTGGTAAGTTGATCTGATAGACACCGCAACACAGGGCTGCCACGCACTAATGGAGATGGGATCTCCTTTTAGTCAAGGGTGGAGATATCAACTGATCAACTGGGGGTGATGGAGAGATCTGAGACCAGGTTTCTCCGTCCCAGTAGCAAACAAGAGTAACAATTATAGTTACCGAAATGTCTCCCGTCAGAATCTGGTCGCACAATTTCCGAGGGTGATAAGTAATCGATATATCCCTTTCGATGTGTGGAGTAAAATCCGAGTATCTTTGAACTACAGACCCCACTATCTCCGTTCGTTTCAAGGGTGTATTGTTACCAGCCCCAATATTTTGAGTACAGATAGAGTTCAAAACGAGGCCTGTGGGATTGAATGGTTCCTTATATCGTAGACGGCATAGTCAAACAATAGTAGAGACCTCGTTTCGAGAAGCCTCCCTAGATACCCGCTATTAGATAAGCTCTGCGCATGTCTGCAAAATGCGGCTGAATTAAGACATACTCCATGAGAGAACCAGGCAAGTAGAGTATTGGCGTTGAGCACGGACAAGAGACAACATCCTTCGACCCCAAGAGAAGATTCAGTCAGATATTTCAAAACAACAGTATGTATCGATCCTACTAAGACTAACATTTGGCATTTAGCCGAGAAAGCTCATGCCCATGAGACATGCATTGCAGTACATACGTCTCTGCCGCAGGCGTTGTGATTAGAAAAGAGGAACCACACGTGCACAAACAACGGCTTGCTCATCAAAAAATGATAGCCTTTTTTTTTCTTCGTCAGCCCTACTCTACGGTGAACAAGCAGCTCTGCCCTGCAATGATACGATTATTTTGGCCTGGTAAATCATTAAAACCATTCAGGTCTAGCAACATTATAAATCCGCGAGGATCTGGACGTTACCGAGATAGTGACCCGAATATTAGAAATACCATATCATGTGCCTCACCCCCGCAGAGAACATTCTGTTCTGATGTGACTACAAAGTTAGTTCCTGCATAGCACTAAGTATGCGTACATACAGGAACTCTAGCTACATACATCTCTACATGTTATAGTTACGTGGAGTGCTTTACCTCAACAGATTAGGTACCGCCCATGCTCAACGAACGAATTATAAGGGAATGATAATATATTTAGGCTACATACATAAAAAGTCAATTCGAGTGCTTGATGATGATCCTCATACATTACAATCAGTTTACAAGGTCAATCAGATAAATCGCTCACAATTCGAGCCCCCGTACAACCAGAGTCCTAATAGGGGAATGTTAACCGGAGGAATGTCTTACATGATCGCCAGATGGTGTGGCATGACGTCCGCGGCCGACGTTACCCGTGTAGAATCTACCTTACAGCATCTCTAGAAGGTTGGTATTGAGGTAGAGTAGATTTTGAGCTTAGACTTTTTTACTCCACCCCGGATCCCAGGGAACGGTGTGCCTAGCTACCTTTGTGTGGAGAAATTACAGCTGTATATTATTGACGGACTGAAGACAGAAAACGGTCAGCTAGCTAGCTAGGTATGTGTGTACTCTACTTGAGTTAGCTTATCAATTAGAAGGATGGGGTACATACTAACTACTGTAGTATATCATGAATATTTCAGGCATGTATTACTCTGAAATAAGACCGTTTTTTCAAATACGCGGACGCTCGGACCTCCTCTTCCCCTTCTTTCGCCCGCTTAGCTAGTATTTTCCTAATCGTATCTAACCCCCACGACAAGACAAGAAAGGAACAGGTCAATCATTCTGAATTCGAAAGCAAAGGAAAGTAATAATTGTTAATCAGGGGGGTCTAGGCGGTTTTCCGAAAAGGCCCGACTACTCCGCACCTAATTACCTGCATTCGCAACAGCTGTCTCACGATCAAAGATAATAATAAAACACCAAATAAACAAATAATCGACACATACAAGGACATATGCTCTAATTTGTTAGCAGCTAGCTAGCAGTACTCGCTGCGCCTCTTCCCGTCCATTCTGCCGAGAGGCTTCGTCACAAATCTGCACACCAGGCCAGGGAGAGAGAGTGATTTACAACTCCTAGTACTACTTACATACGCAGGACATATATTTGTCCGAAACGAGGAGCATGAATTCTCACCAATCGAACAATACCTAACTGTTTAATTGACGATGCGCCTGCGGCATCTGCGATCCAATAAGTGTACCCTGCTGGTATGTAGTCTAAAGTACTTGCAGCCCGGGATGCCTGCCGTGAGTACTAATTGAACCCCATAGAGTGCAGTATACAGCTACATACAGTACGCAAAGAACATACTCCCTTCCATCTGAGTAGGGAAGTGCATCTGCGGGACCATCCTGGATTACCGCATGATCATGATCTACCTACCAAGAAAACCATCCATCTTCGCTCGGGATCTTATCGTCCGGCCCTAGCATACTCTACCTAGTGGTACACCGGTGGCTGAAGTCTTAATCCCAGCGCGTGAAACGGAAACACTCACGTCTACGGACGTATGTCGTAGATTTGGAGACCCAAGTCCTGAGATCTTGTAACTCAAACAAGCCAATTGACCTTTGGCTTGTGCATTGCGAACGTGCGGTACATGTTGAAGGGCCGAACCCCTTCCCGCTTTTCCGGGGGTAGGGGGTATATGCCGGATCGGTTTTCGCCTCGGGGGTCTAACATTGCTATGCTCCTCCTCCACCAACTAACCAGTACCCGTTACACACCTCGACTCGTAGAGTCCGGCCGGTGAGAAAAAGGCTTAATTGGACTAGTGCGTGAAAAGTTACACAACAAATACGCAAAACTCCTACTGGCTACATGATCATTAGACCAATTATACAACGCAAAGAAAAAGGAAAGAAAGAACCTACCTCTGAAATCTCGATCTCAAAAGAAGGTTTTTGACATACACGCGGTGGAAGGGATGTAGGATGAGACATGTAGCCACCGTAGCGTTAGACTCGTTCCCCGTACATCCACACGTTAATGTTATGAGACAGCCAATTTTGCACGCTAGAACCGTTCTTCTCTTCAGCATCGGACAGCCCGCAACTACGTACATGTAGGTACTCACTTGTCAAGATAGGTACCGATAATCATAAAGCAGTTTATGCGCTAACTGCAACTACAGGACAGGGGAGGGGCCTTTCCTCAATACGGTTGAGATGTTTTGAAACCTCCTCCGAGCTAACGGTATGGTATGATATGATGTTGACATATTATTAGCAGCGCCCAGGTAGTACCTATGTAGGTACATCAAATAACTACAATTAGTAGACCAGGTTGCATATTTGCCAATTTCCTTCCATTGGTCGCAGCAGAAGATCTCTTCATCACCGTGATGGATTTGCGGGACTAATCCTGACTAGCTGCCGAATGCCGCCGTGGTTGATGGCATAGCAACAGGGCTTTGAACGGGGAACTTCCCTACAGAAGAACAAGAAGAAATCAGAACCCCCGTCACATCATATCATATCATATCCATCAATCAATCTGCTGTACTCCACAAAAGACGCAATAAATATAATATATCAGGCAACACTTATAGAATTGTTTTCGCAATCTTTATACTATATTAGCTAGCAGCAAACACCCGATGGCCCGTGGTAGGGAGCAATAATAGATCGTTGTTGTTATTAGTCTAACGGCCCCAAGAAGAAATAATGCCCGACATGCGGAAGCTGTGGCTTTATTCCTGCGTGGCGCTTACCGCATTCATCGAAAATAGCCCGGACAGGGCTTCTACTTACCCACAGCTGTACCTGTAACCTAACTCTTTATGTGAGCGTAAATTAAAATCGATATCCACAATCGCAGGAAACAATGCAAGTAACATGTACAAATATTACGGGGAACCTTCCCCCCTAATGTTAATAAGCTCTATGTAAGTAAAAAGAGTGTCTCGGTCAGTAATCCGAATACAATTAACAGACACCGGAGAAAAGGGATATACCTACTAACAGGAAAGCAAAAAGTGCAAAGATGGTTGCCCTATAATTTAATACGAATCCAGAAGATTGCACCGAACGGAGTACCGGTGGTCTGGTCGAGGGTCATGAAGGGTAAGTATTAACCCCATCCTGAAACTCCCGACTAGAAGCTAGGCCAGTAGATCACCCCTCCCCTCCCCTCCAGCCATCAACCCCCGCCTCATCAATCCGGTAATTCTTCGCCTTTTTTGTGAGGTGTGCGCGTTGCTGTGTGCGTGTGGTTCCTCGTTACAACAGAATTAGATACCCGCCCTGCCCTAAGTGGCTTTTTTAACGAGAGTTATTGTCTGAGCTCCCTGTCTCGCGCTGTCAATGTATGTCAAGATTTTAACATGTAGCTAGTGCTGTTTAGTTGACAGCCACTAAGGTCATGTTCAGACAGTCAAAGAGAGAGGTCCTATGTATGTAAGAAATGTAGCCCCCATATAGTGCAAAGAGCTTAGACCTATAGATTTTCCCCTTCCCAGCTTCACATGCCAGTTACTCACCGCAAGTTTGTCACACAAGGAAAGGATCTCAAGTAAGGATTATTGTGGGCTGATACTGCCAGAAACTGACTGCCTTGGCGGAGGGAGTTTTGGTGAGCTAAGCCTTCGATATAGTATACAATCCAGGTCACTGGTACAGTACAGTACATAATGTACTCTAGGTACGGGTCAAGTTGATTACAGAGAACTTGCACATTGTTCGTTCGTTATATAGCAAGGACCCGCATGAAAATTTTTATAATCGCACGCCTGTGATTTGAAGAAAAGTCTAGGCAAGGGTTGGAGTATATTGATAATAGCAACTGGCCCGCCTACCTGCAACAAGAATATATCATCTCTCGATCCTCCTCCCCTCAATCTAAATCTTTTTCAAGATTATTCTATCACGCACACGGCATCACACAACTTGAAAATCCCATCATTATCATCGACATCATCAGCATCACCGTCCCCAACACCACCGCTAAAACAATGTATTCCCCGCCAAACTCGAGCTCGACAAGGCGGAGCATAGCAACAAGACAGAGAGTCTCTCGTGCGTGCGATCGATGCAATCATCTTCGCGTAAAGTGTGATGGTCAGAGGCCCTGCGAGCACTGTCTGGGTGAGTTATTTGTTTCCGCCACCCCTTCATCCTTCAACAATACCAGTAGGTTCGTATACTAACAGCCATGACTGTGGTACCAGTATATGGACTCGAGTGTAAATACGAGCGGAGGCAGAAGAAGCGTGGCAAAGGTTCCTTGAGAATTAACTCCGGTGAAAACTCAAGCACAAACCCAAACGAACCGATGACACCGACCACCAGCGTGAACTCACCATCATCAAGCCCTACCGCCTTCCATCTCTCAATACCTTCAACACATCTCTTCTGCCCTGAAGACAAAGACGGTTACCACAACGAGTTTGTTAGCGTTGCTTCGAGTGAACAATCATCGCAGCACTGCACACCAGAACCCCCGTTCTCATCATTATATAAAGCCGATCCGGAGACTACTGTATATACAAATGGAAGATCCCGTGGCAGTGGAGGTTTACAGCAACAGCATAAACATTGTTTCGAAATCCCAGAACCAATCAGCTATGCCCCTCAGCTATTGAACCGGACACACCCCGGACCCTTCGACCCGGCCAAATGTACGACTCCGACTCCTCCTTCAAACCCAGTGCCTATCACCCCGCCTGAAGGCTACCAGATGCTTCCGTATATGCCTCTTTGTGCCAACTGTCACTGTAATCCCTCGGTACGGCTATATTCTGGGTCAATCTTGTGGCTACCAGTGGCACAGTCACAGCTGGGCGACGGGTCGGAGTACAGCGGATTAACGATGTGTGAGGGTGGCACATACTGCTTCCCTGACCAGCAGAAGGCTATGATACGGGAGTCATGAGGTTGGGTGTTGGGGGGTAGAACCTAGTCAGGGCTTGGGGAAATGCATTATTTCGTTTGTTTTTGGTTATTGGGTGGGAGTTGAAAAAGTGATTTGTCGGGCGGTTGGGGTTGCATCTGTATCTGGTCCGAGTTGGGCGGCTCTCAGGAGAGATTTTTTTTTATCGAATTTCATGTATGTGTGGGGGTTTAATTCTGCTGGACAGGAGCAAGGCTCGTTCAGGAGCTGCATGTAGAAATTTCTGTTTGGCCTACTACTATGCCGTATATACTGGGGATGATTTCTTTCCTTTGGATATTGATAATAGTGGAGTGGAATATATTATATTTACCTATAAAAGATATTCGGCCTCAAGCCCTGTGAGTTTTTGGCTTCACTGTTAACTCGTTCTTCACTCATTGTCACTCGGCACTCCATACTCACTCTCGACCTTACTTCTGACCTGCAACACGACGCCATGTCAGTATCTACTTCTCTTCATTGGGATATCTCTAATCTTTGCGAAGAGTAAAACAAAGAAATTATAAGCCATGGCTAATCTTCATTACCTCAATACGAATGGCTTGATAAAAACCACTGAAACATTTTTGAGACAATGATCTGTATCACGACGGTGGGCAGCGTTGAGCGATGTGGGGGTTGCCGAAAAAAATCACCGCGGACCCGCGCGTCCGGCCCACTTATAATTGAAAGGTCGAACGGAAAATCGTAATGTGAATCACCTGCTTAACCATCGCGAACCGCGTGTTAGTCAAGTGCATGTAGTAGGGAAAACTCTCCGGTATCATAACCATGGGACTCAATTTGTCTCTAACAAGTTGCAGCTGGACATCATTGCCGCGCCAAGAGGCACAACGGAACTTTCCATCAACGGTCCAACATGTCTAATTGTCCTCGGAATGCCTGTCAGACTAGATGAAGATAGATGCCTCTGCATACATACATACCTCGGAGTGAACGCGCGGGGTTTTGTGCCTGCTTCTAAAAATTGAGAAGGGAAGGGCGTTTATTAGCATTATGTCCACTAAAAAAGATCTCAAGAAATTAAGGGTCCAACTAGTAGGTAGTAACGACCTTTTTCACATGTCCAAGTACTTCCTCTCTCCATATGGCCTAGTCATCGGCTTTCCCCGGGGCTATTCTTGAGCAGGTAACGACGCGTGAACGATCTACGTGTACTGTTGCATCAAGCACCGATTTAAAGTTAAGGAAGGCTCCGAACGGTTTGTTGCGCTGAATTCGGCTACTGGGATCGCGTTTTACGTACAGCAATGATACCGAACGTGGCCGAGGTCGTAATTGGCAATTTGCATCCTAATTCTGATGTTTTGACCCCTGATACTTTATCAGAGGCTTGTCTCATGTTCTTTAACGTCCTTGATGCATATGAAGATCATTCAACGAGATTCTCGGCCTCGGCCACGGGATGTGTGTGGCCCCTGTGATGAATGCACGTGCGTTTAAAGCTTCTTTCCTTATTCCTCCATCTTAGCAAGGATACTCTCCATAAGGATAACGGACCAGTGTTGCAATGCTGCCAAGTTGCATCAATCCATCGTCACATACCAATCAGGCTTGATCAAATCGATAATTGTGGAGACCAACAATATTAAGGCCGAGGCAGAAAAAGAAAGGATGCATCATGGGACAGCTTGGAAGATCGAGGATCCTAGCCCTGGTTAGTAGTCCTCACGTTGAAGTAGCATATGGCTTGGAGCTTAGCCTTATCAAATTACATAACCTTATTACCCCCACAACATATTCTCCAGGATGACCCCTCAAGGGAACAATAGTAGAAGGCTCTTATTCGGGCCCGATCAATGCATGGTGACGGTGGCGGTGCACATCTCTCTCAAAAAGGTTGACCGTTCCTTGAGACCGTTTTATTTACACTAGTTATTTCGGGTCTTGATGTATCAAGTGACTATGTGATCGTGCTTTTTAGTTATATCTATAGAGACTTGACATCTACCGAAGGGTGGTTCGATGTACAATACCTATGATGATAATGCGTTGGAACGGGCAGAGCACCGATTTCAGATGTGAACCCTTACAGTTGTGCATTGAGAACGTTACCAACGGCTCTGCACAACTATCTGAAGTCACATATACATTTTGATGTAGATGTACGTTTCATCACATGATACATACTGTGCCGGCCAAAAAGTGAATTTGACGAGTTCCTCAACCCTAGGATAACGCTTGAAAACAGGGGTACGCAGCTAAGCTTTCTTACGACATGATAACCGACCTCGTTATCAGTTGAAATAAGCGTGAAACCGCACGAGAACACATACGCATTGTCTTGAAAGTCAAGCCACGAAGCTTGGCTTAAAACTGTGTTTCACTGAATGATACTCATGGGAGCATGCATATATCATTTCCGGCGGAGCAGAAAAATGAATGCGCAACTTTCGAAAAGGAACCACTATCCCGATGTCTCATGTGCCATCTAGTCCCCACAGTTCTAAAATTTTAATACCTAGTTAAATCAGCAATAGTTATAATAGCTCCTTAGAATCATTCACTTGCTCCGCGGAGCCAAACAGAAAGAGAAGGCTAGAACTATACAATGTTCAGCTAGTATGTTCCCCTTTCATCCAACAATCGCTCCAGCAGTCACCAACAAAGCCTAATAACTATTGAAATATTGTTATTCCCTGGGGAAGACGTTTGGCTGGGAACCTTCCGGCAGCTACAACTGCAGATATGGTACTCAACATTCTTTTTTTAGACTTTGTACTATCAACGCGTGTAAGCTATTTCTTTCAGTCTGTGATATCATAAAGCATCACTCGGTCTTGGCAATATCAACAAACCAATCTTTATCATTCGTAACTTACCATCATAGAGCTTGTTCTTTCAGTAGGCGCGGCTATCATCATTATAGACACGTTCGTTTAGGTGCCATCCACTCCATATTATGGAATCCCCGTCCGATCCCTCTGCCGCGTGGGAGTGTTGAAACCCTCCTAGCTTGGCTTGGCTGAGCGCCCTCAAGGTAAACAAAACTACATGTAGCTTATTGTCTGCAGTAGGTTGGTTTGAGTGGTTTAAGCCTGAAAGGAGATGGTTGTTTAGAAATGGAGCGAAGAAGACCTGAAAGCACGGGGGGGTTGAGGAGTTCGTGTTTTACTCAGCCAGATGGTTTCAAAGTCTAGTCTTACTAACATCTAGGATCGAAATATTAGTTCTAGTTGAATAGGCGATGAAACATTTCTTGTTGCAGAAGAGTTGAATTTTTAGCACTATTTATAGCCCACGTTTCACAGTTTGGTCCTGGCCAAAGTAATCAATCAATCAAAGTTTGGTCCTGGCCTCAAAGGTCACTAGGGTTAGGGTTGATAATGATCTAGTGTCCTCCATTATTGATTGGTTATCTCGATAGACAAATAACAGCCCGAGATTAGACATCTTCCCTCTCGGTGGCGACCTCGAAGTGGTGGATATTGGTATATGCGAGCGGCATCGAAATCACCAGTAATAATATTGCTCGCAGAATGTCCAGGATGTCAGTGGTAGACTGTATGATCAACTAATCATGTTCTATACACTTCAAAATAAGTGTATATCATTCTCAGCCAGCCAACAATGGAGCGTCAAATCCAAGAACGTCTTTTTGGAAGTTTTTTCAGGAGTTGACTCACAAACACTCACTCGATTAATGTTACCGAGCAAGACGACAAACTGGAACTCACCAACCCCTCCCCCTCTCCGGGTGGGACGAGGCGATACCAGGCCCTGGTCTTTTGGAAAGCTATATCGCTGGAAAAACCAGCTAATAAAACATTACGAAGACGTATGTGGACCTAAGACTGTCGGTCATGCAAAAAGGAGTGCTGTCGTCATGCAAAAAAGAGTGTCTGAGTGATCAAACTGAATAGAAGCTTTGGATGGTCAATTCTAGTTCAATATACAATCGTTTAAGAGGAATGGCAAAACCCATCGGACGATGATCGAACAAGAAGGCCTTTGTTTGTCAACACAACGGCGCTTAGGTTGAAGCGCAATCAGTTGGTTGCCTGAAAATATATGCGTTTTCGTCGCTTCCCCAGGTTTATCGTCCCCCACAGGTTAACTGTAGATATAGCTGGAGGACAGGGCAATATAAATCGTGCCATAATGCAATCTTCTGGGAGATAATTCGGCAACCTTGGAGGTATTGGCCAGTGTGCTACCGGTGTAGTCTTGTGCCCATCATCAAGGGAAGAGACCTACTACCGATGGTACTGACCGGACAGTGAAGCCTCTTCAACACGCGCTAAAGGGACACACTCGTTGATGAAGGCGCCGCTATAGAGACTCGAGTCCTGTTAGAAGCAGTAATTGCAGGACTACACTCGGGATATTCACACTTTATGGACTTACAGGGAAGTAATTATAGGCTTAATTTCGTCTCCTTTTACATACGGACACCGACGATATAGATACCGAAAACCTATTCTCGGGAAACAGCGATCTCAAGCCATCGGTATCGTGCACTGAGGTCCATGACAGAATACTGCCCTTCGATAATCTGGTCAAGCTGCAGATGCATGTATGAAGGAAAATCAGTCGAAGGGGAGATGGGCTAGGTCCCATGCCCTGCTGGTCGGTGAGCACCAACTTGTATTAGAGGTTGGGCACGAGACTAGGAGATGAGCAGGTCTGGAATCAAGTCTGGAGATGACGTAGGGCACACACTTACCCGATGTTTGCTTGTCCTTTTTGCAAACTGGTCTAGGCCAAGACATTCCAGCACCTTCCCTTTTCACTCTCTGGGCCGGATTAATTCACAAGATGACGGCTTGTATCGATTACTATTCTAAATACCCACTGCAGCGCTATAACTGTGAATAATAAGGTTATATGTAAGTGCGACAGGCTTGTCATACTTTATCTTGCTGGCTGTACATGTTAGTAGCATCTCTTTGTTGGTATGAACCCTCTTTGTTTTACTTGAAATTTGTACTAACAGTCATTTTTCTACAACCTAGAATTTGAATATATCGATAGCCATTTTGCTGTGTTTGAAGAATCTAAGGTCTGGAGGAAGAGGTTCTCCGGTCATATCGGGGGTAGTGTGGTACTCGAGTAGGCTCAAGTCGAGTCTTGGACATGGCTCGAGCCGGCTTGGGGTTGAAATGGTAGAAGCTTGTCCGGCCTGTGAAAAACCTAAGTCCTCGAGCTTGTCTCAAGCTGAAAGAGTATTCACTGCAACTTTTTTTTACGACGTAGACAACTATTCTCAGTTCCTCACTAAAGAACTGAAACCTAACTCTTCGATCCCCTACTCTAGCTCTACCGTTTCCCCCTCCATCAACTCTGACTTTTCATATTAGGACAGGTAAGGATGGGCAAGTTCCTGCAGAATTTTAGCATAGAGATATAAAACAATGATATACATGTCTCAAGCCAACTCAAGTCGCATTTCAAACGGGCTTGAGGCCTTCACGACTTGTGAAGGATTGAGCCAATAGCTCAAGCCGAGTTCTCAAGCCCGCTTGTCTCGTAGACCACAGTAATCCGGGGCGCCCCATCTACAGAATTTAGAGTTCTGAGATTTTCAGTATGTCTTTTTGTATGAAGAAATCGCATATACTATCCAATCTCGAAAGTTTTATATCACTATATATATGTAATACATTTATGTTTGAAGAGTGTGACTTTCAGGATCATAGCAAAGAAGATTTTTTGATTCTTGCACGATGTAGTGAAAGGTTAGCAAATCTCTGCGCTATTCTATCGTTTTTTACGTCTAATCGTGAACTCATCCAAAATGAAAAACAGCCACCACACAAATGGAAAACCCACACCTAACAAATAAAAGCGACGAATCAAGTTTAACACCATTCAGTTTTCTATACCTTGTAACCATAGCTCCCTCCTTAGTACCCGCCAAGAACCCAAGCAACTACTATACCTCTCAGCACTAGCCAAATCCGCCAAAATCCAATTATCACCGCCCATCACTCGGCCTTGGCAACACTTCCCTCGTGATACACTTCCTTCGCCCCCTTCATTTACTTCGTACACTCGCTGTTTCCCTTCTCCATGTCTCAACTTCTCCTGATCTCGCATTTTTCAAGACCCAATCTTTGAGGCACCTCTCACCGTGCGGCCAAGGTATCTTCCCGCCATCAACCAGACATATCTTTCCGCGCCGCGTCCGAATCACGCCGAGCTTGAATGCGGCGGTGAGATCTGTGCATGTTGCTTTGCGATGGCCAGGTAGGCCACACCAGGTACAGTAACGCCGCTTTTTTGGCGGCGTGGTGGGAGAAGATGTAGGGGAGGGCACGGAAGAGGGCGTGGAAGAGGGCGCGGAAGAGATATTAGGCGAGGGGATGGTGGTGAGGATACTAAGGATTTCGGGGAGAGTGTATATTCGTGTGGGTAGGTGTGCCATTTGAGATTGGTATGTGTACTTTAGGTTGTTGACAATGTTGATGGTATGTATACCGATCTCTAAGCATATAACTTTAATGGAATTAGAAAGTAACCAACAAAGCACGTCATTTATACCGGTGCTCAGCACTTACCTCTAAAACGCGGCTAGTCCAGAAGTTCCAGCTGATGTTGAAATAAGGATCAATGTGGGGTTCAAGGCGACTTATCTAGCATCCCCAGTGCCCTCACAATGTTAGCGAAGATCAACACCTAAAGTGCCAAGACCTTAGGTTTTAAGTAAACACAAAGTAACTTTAAAGGAGCACCGGGATGCTAGTGAATTGTTTTAATTTCAAAACTAGGACGATCGTATTACTCCATTCAGCGCGCCAAGTATCGATCCCTATGATATTCAACAAAGATAAATTGTAGTAAGATCGATCATTTCCCTTTCGTGGCCTGACATGCCAATTTTAAGTTTTCCCCGGACCGAGGGGCCGGAAGATCTAAGATACAACTCTTTGGCAAACGAGGATAAGGTTGATCGGCATCCATGTCGGTGTTGGGTGGCAGACCTGGGCCCCCGGATAATAGGGGAATTTAGCTGCGTCAGATAGAGTAAACTGCAGATCTATGGAGGAGGCCGAGGGTTAAGAGGCTTAATAGTAGAAGTTGATAATATAATCCTTGTAGAGAAACGTCACGATTCCTGGTTGACGTTTCAGGTTGTCGGGAGGATGTACCGAACCATGGCTTGCAGCAGGCGGGTCTGTGTGACGTACATTGACTGACGACAGCGTGTCAGATGTATGCGATGTGGTCATTGTGTCCAGTTTTCAGCAGTAGGCCCTTTGCTCAGACAGAACTGGCTCCAAATTCTACTTGTACGATTGGTTGATGGGAGGGTCGGCGCCAATCAGGTTACCGGAATTTGGAGCTGGAAGGGCCTATCGTCGTGATTTTCTAGTCATCTGCTTTTAACTCGATCTTTTGTCATGAATCAAACTCCAGGATTTCTTCCAACCCGACGAAAAAAATGCGGATTCCAGGTTACGAATTCATCATACTTTCTTATGGTTACATACAATTAATGAAGTAATCAATCAATCACACTTTTTCATTAATTCATCTAATCTATAATCATCACCTCATGGTCCGCCCTTAATATAGATATAGTTACTACACTACTATGTTCGATCTTTGTATCTAGTGTATCTCGGTTTTTGGTCAGATATGATCCGCTGATATTTATGTACACGTACTGAAGCGACTACTCGAGATAGATAGGACGCCAGCTCTAAGCGCCAATTTTCCGTTGCAGAAAAACAACAATCATACGAAATCCTCGAGCGTTAGTAACTTGAATGGCGATGCTAATTTTACTGCTGATTATTCTTTCCCTGACCGAGAACAAAAGAATTACACGAAAACTCTAGAAATCAATATATCACTAGTGTGTGTACGAGCCATGGATTTTGTCAAGCAAGGCTGTCCAACTGATTTGGATCTGACAGATCACGTGCCTATCTAGACTTAGGTAGTCGCTACCGACAAATACCTGGACGCACTTCGGGATAGTCTACATGTACTAGATACCCCTTCGGGACTTTACATGACACTAACTACATGTATCTTAACGACGCATCAGTAAGGCATCCAACTATTAAGGCCCACCCCTTGCTTAGGTTTAGTCCACTACATACATGTAGGGCCAAACATTCTATTGGGTAGGATTTGCTTATGTTAGACCGCAAATACTGCATCTTCGGGAACTTGTTTCCTGTGTACTTAGTTCTTCGCCTTTTGAATATGCGCACACGCACAATTGGATGCAAACACACACAGGGCTATTACTTATTGGGTCGATTACGTCTCTTATTCAGGCATCCATTTAACGAAAGAAAGCTTGTTTAAGAGCAGTTTGCTTCCCTCTATCTTTACCCTCTTGCTCGAACTCTTACTCCAGTTCTCAAACACAGACGCCCCGATAGAAATTTTTATATACCAATTCTCTTCGATATATAACCCACACGTCTCATTGCTCCCATCATCGATCAAATCTCGTTTAAAACAAAATTTGTTAATCCTGTTCATTCCATAGATCTTTGATATCATGTCTTTCACCTCCTTTGGTACGCCTAACTGGAGGAAGAACACTGGTGTTTGCAAATTCTTCGGGAACGGTGGCTGCATGAAAGGCGAAAGATGTGAATTTAAACACGAAGGAGGAGGTACACCGGCCAGCTCCTCTAACTCGTGGCGTTCCGGGGAGACCCGTGGAAACCAGGATACGGGTTGGGGCCTGGGAAGAGGAAGAGGAAGAACGGGGAGCTTTCAATCGGATCGTGGGGACTGGGATCGTGGGAACCAGGATACGGGCTGGGGCCCGGGAAGAGGAAGAGGAAGAACGGGGAGCTTTCAATCGGATCGTGGGGACTGGGATCGTGGGAACCAGGATACGGGTTGGGGCCTGGGAAGAGGAGGAGGTACACCGGCCAGCTCCTCTAACTCGTGGCGTTCCGGGGAGACCCGTGGAAACCAGGATACGGGTTGGGGCCTGGGAAGAGGAAGAGGAAGAACGGGGAGCTTTCAATCGGATCGTGGGGACTGGGATCGTGGAAACCAGGATACGGGCTGGGGCCCGGGAAGAGGAAGAGGAAGAGCGGGGAGCTTTCAATCGGATCGTGGAGGGGACTGGGATCGTGGAAGGGAATTAGATCATGGAGGGGTTTCTCTTGCATCCGAACCAACTTCATCTGGGAGAAAGGTATCCGAGTTAGGCATCTGGCCTTCTCGACCGACTCAGAAGGGAGAGGGCTGGGTAAGATATGGAGATTGGGAAGACAGATTCGGGGCACATACGAAGCAAAGAGCCTCAACGATGAGATACTTTTGGGAAGAGGCGTTAGATATTGTGGAAGGATCGGATCCCAATCTTATCCAAAAGGTTGTAGGGCGGTTGGTTGCAAAGGATAACATCGGTCGACAATTGATAGAGCAGGTGGTGAAGAACGATTATTCGAGCCCTCGGCCTGTCCTTGATTATCTATTAATCTCAGTTCCTTTCCTTCTCGTACTCACCCACCCGGATCTCATAAATTCCCTTGCAATAGATCGCCAGGTCGGAACAATCTACAATTATCTATATGGAACTGATGGAAGCATCTGCCTCACCTTTTTTAGGAACCTTGCTATACAGCTCGAAAGCGAGGCGGCGATCGATGCTCGCAAAAGCGGCATATGGAAACCTGCTGATGTCGGGAAACCAATGAGCTTCTCAAAGGCACTCGCTTGCATTGTAGAGGGGCTTCGACACACTCTGAAGCGTAACATCCAAGCCGGGTTTAATGAGGACTATAAAACCGTCGCTGAGTCTTACTGTGCCCTGGCACGTCTCATCACTCAAAACGACGAGTTTTATACATCTATCAATAGCTCCTTGACAGAAATCATCGGAATCCATCGAAGAGCCAATTTTATCATCGTACTTCCTACAGCAACACCTACGCAAGGTCAAGGGGGGAGAGTTGAATCCTCGTATCCAGTGGAGGTCGATTATCCGGGATATCTATCGACGCAGGGTCCCAGACATGACAACGATTTTGTCTCCATTCGTCAAATCCAGATTCTACCCACCTTCGAAGAGATACTTAGCCCGAGAAAGGAGTATCTTCCCTACAAAAAAACCACTTGCCCACACTTCCTGGATGGTGTTGACCGACTTTTTGATACTCATTTTCGCCTCCTCCGCCATGATAGTGTTGAAGGCCTGAGAGACGCTGTTAGTAGGGTTTTAAACATACTTCAACTCCCACTTCAAGAAAGGGCCACTGCGATGAGGAAAGCTAGCCTTGGGAATATTCATGGGCATCTATATACCGATGTGTCTGCCGCTTTTGCAAAATTTGACCAGCGTCAAGGTCTCGAGCTAGTATTGAAGTTTCAGCAACCGCCAGCCGTAATCAACAAAACACCTCAGGGGCAAATGGAGTGGTGGAATAACCAGAAATCACGGTTTGACCGAGGGACACTGGCATGTCTTGTAACAAAGGGGCCTGAGGACTTTCTACGCGTTACATTCTTCACCATCTCTAAGAAGGAAACTAACCCATCAATGGATGATGGACTCGCGACCGGGAGGCATGGCCATATATCCGTCCAGCTAATCCACTCAAAGAAGGAAGAGGACAGTGATCTCGAGGATACGGGGGATACCGATATCGATTTTATTCTCGGACGATTATCAAGATACGCAACACCTATGACCAGCGTCCTGGTTAACTTCCCAGGAATTATTCCAGCTACGTTTCTTCCAGTTCTGGAAAATCTTCAGCAGCTCAGCGCACAGGGAAATCTTCCATTATCTCAATGGATCGCCCCTAGTTCTGAAACAATGCTGCTAGACTCTGGTTTCTCCCCGGACAACCTGCCTCCAGCATATTCGCGAGACCCGACCTTTCGTTGGGATCTCAAACCTATCTTGAAAAACAAGTTAGATGATTTTTCCTTACCTTCGACCGCCCAACCTGACGATCAAACGGTTTTGAAAACTCTGGAGGAAATGACGACGTTAGATAGTGGGCAATGCAAGGCTCTTATTACGGGATTGACGAAAGAAATGTCTCTCATCCAAGGCCCTCCAGGAACTGGTAAAAGTTATGTCGGAGTTCAGATTGTCATGGTTCTGCTTCACAATAAAAGATGGTCAAAGATTGGACCGATCGTATGCGTGTATGTATCTTCCATGATCACCCATCACGCATGTTTCGAAAGACGTATTCTAATCTTAAACGACGATCTTCTAGTTGCTACACAAACCATGCCTTGGATCAATTCCTCGAAGAATTACATGAGAAGGGCATCGAAAGGATAATCAGGGTGGGCGGTCAATCAAAAATGGATGAGCCCGTAGGGTACAATCTGAAAGACGTTTCTAAGGCTGCAGAAAAAACTCGGGAAGAGAGGGATAGTATATGGGAGTACCATAAAAGCCTGGAGGCTATATCTAATCAAGCCCAAGGGCTTTGCAAAGAAATTCGCAAGAGTCCTGATTCATGGGCTGCCATATCTCCGATCCTAAAGAAAGAATTCACCCATCTTCACCGTCAACTTTTATATAATGAGGACCCCTACATTCAAGCTCAGAGGCAGGCATGGGCTGACAAAGCTGATGAAGAACGGGAGGAGATTGATATCAAAGGCGGAAATAAGGGGGCGAGTCTCAAATCTGAGAATCCATGGCAAGAAGTCAGTGAGCCCGCCCACATTTGGGATGCATGGCGAGGCGTCCGGAGAGGTCCAGTCTGGCAATATCGAAACAGAAACATTACTAATACTACTCATCCTCCACGCACACTCGAATCAATTGTCAGTTGTACAGATATGTGGTCTCTACCTTGGGAAGAGAGACAAATATTGGTGGAGTATCTTTCCAAAAGGGCAGAAGAATCTCCAATACGCCGTCTTTCCACCCAAGCTCAAGGATTTAAGATCGAAGCGGACGGGTTGCATGCACAATACAACGAAGTGGACCGCCGTTGCCTCGATCAAGCAGATATAATTGGTATCACGACTACTGGTCTAGCAAAACAGGGTGCGCTTCTGAGAAAATTGCAATCGAAAGTTGTTATTTGTGAGGAGGCCGGTGAAGTCTTGGAGGGACATCTCATCAACGCTATTCTCCCCACATGCCAACATCTTATTCAAATTGGAGATCATCAGCAGCTACGACCCCAAATCAATTGTTTTCAAGACCTTTCGTTAGAAAGTAGAGATGGTACACCCTACAGCCTTGACGAAAGCATGTTTGAAAGATTGGTGAGAGAAAGGCCTGATCTGGCACCCGCGCAGCTCAACATCCAGCGACGCATGCGTCCCGAGATATCGAGCCTGATTAGAGATACCTTGTATCCAGATCTTTGTGATTTCAAGAATGTCAGCGAATATCCTGACGTCGTTGGTATGAAGAAAAACGTTTTCTGGCTGGATCATACTCACCCAGAAGCAGAGAGCGATGATTTTGGCGTTAAACTAGGATCACACAGCAATGATTGGGAGGTTGAAATGACCCATGGGCTTGTGCGGCATCTTGTTCGGCAATCCCACTACTCCACCAAGGATATCGCAGTCTTGACGCCATACACGGGACAGCTCCAAAAGCTTCGCCGGGCACTTGGGGCGAGTTTTGAGGTTGTCCTGAGTGAAAAAGACAAGGATGCTTTGGTTCGAGATGGCCTGGACGAAAGCGATAAGCCAAAAAAGGATTCGAACGGTATATCTGTTAAGAAGTCTACTCTTCTGGAGGCGATCCGCGTTGCTACGGTGTAAGCTATGTCTGACCCATCATGAAATTAATCTTACTGATGTGCCGATGTGGAAACCTGTAGTGACAACTTCCAAGGTGAAGAAGCCAAGATCGTCATTATATCTTTGGTTCGAAGTAACGAGGGACGAAGGGTCGGTTTCCTTCGAACTACAAACCGTATCAACGTTCTTCTAAGGTATATCTATCTATATATACTAGCATGTTTTGGTTTCTGATACTTTTGATATCTATAGTCGAGCAAAGCATGGAATGTACCTTATCGGAAACGCAGAAAGTGCGGGATCAATAATCATGTGGCGGGACGTTTGTCAAATGCTCCGCGATACTGGCGCCATTGGGAAAAAAATTCCTCTTCTTTGTCCCCGTCATCAAGAGACACCGATAGAGGTTGAGGAACCCCAAGACTTTTTACGGTTATCTCCTGAGGGCGGTTGTGATATGACTTGCGACAAACGTCTCGACAGCTGTGGTCACCGTTGCTACAGCAAATGTCACTCGGATGGAATGCATAAGGCTGTTTCTTGCGCACAGCCATGCAATAAGCTCCATGAGGCCTGCCAACACCCGTGTCAACGGCTTTGTAGTGAGGATTGTGGACGATGCGAGACACCAGTCTACAATTTCGAGATCCCCTGTGGTCATGTCGAAAAGAAAATTGACTGCTGGAGGACGCTAACTCCAGAGAATATCACTTGCATGAAACTCGTGGAAAAGATTGTTCCACAATGCGGTCATTCAGTCGAAGTGCGATGTTTTATTGATGTCAGCTCGGATACTTATAAGTGCCCAATAGACTGTACCCATATTCTTCCATGTGGCCACAAATGCGCAGGAACATGTGGGTTGTGTAATATAGTTATTGAAGAGAGAAAGGTTACCGAGCACGTCAGCTGTAGGAAAATTTGCAGTAGAGGATTCACATCATGCAACCATAGGTGCCGGAAGAGGTGCCACGATGGATCAGCTTGTGGTCTTTGCAACGCGCAGTGTGATGTATACTCCCCCCCTCTTAGCATCTCCTACATCATTACAGTGCTAATTGCAAAAATAAAATAAAAAATAGGTCAAATGCGGCCATTCTAGATGTACAATGAAATGTCAAGATACGTGCGCTCCTTGCGCAGAACCCTGTATGTATCCTGCGGTTTAGCAATGTGAAAATCCGCGAGCTAACTTTCTTAGGCACCTGGAAGTGTAAACACCAAGGAGAATGCGAAATGCCTTGCGCGGCTCCTTGTGAATTATTGCCTTGTGACGAAAGATGCGACGAAATACTCAAATGCGGCCATAGATGCCCATCACTATGCGGCGAAATCTGTCCTGCGGCTGATTTCTGCCAACTCTGCTGCTCAACAGAGCGGAAAGAAGATGCTGGGGTTGACATGATTGAATTTGCTCCCTACAGTTCAATCGACCTCGACGAAAACCCCATACTCGTGCTGTCCTGTGGCCACTTCTTTACTCGAGAAACCTTGGATGGCTATCTAGAACTTGACAACGTATATTCTAGGGACAGTCAGGGACATTATAATGGGTACATTGATCCAGCAGGGAGACTGGATGAGCAAGTCCCAAAATGCCCTTCTTGTCGTCAGCCTTTGCTGCAGCACAGTGTTCGCCGTTATGGACGAGTAATCAATCGCGCGGCGATCATGGAAATGACCAGAGGGTTCCTCGCTAGTGCATATACCAGATATGAAGAGCTTAAATCAGAGTTAGTTGGACTTGAGAGTGAGCTTATCAAATCCCGGGACGCATTTCATGAGACCTTATCCCCCACAGACACAGACTTATGGCGAGAGGCTCACATGACACATACTGAAAAGAAGGCTGAATTGGCAAAGAGGCTTGACAAAATAGAGAATATCTCAACTAGATTGAAAAGCTTTGTGAAAACGACCAAAGAGCAGCAGCAGCCAGCAATGCGGCTGTATCAAAGCACAGTCACCCGTAAAGCTTCGAGTACTTCGGAAAAACAAATTGGAGCAACTCTTTACTTCCGTCCGGATACACGCCTGGAGTTACTTGCGACGATACTATGCTCCCGTTCCAACCTTCTTATGGTTACTGAGAATGCTTTGCTAGCTCATTACCTTAAATCCAAGGCCAGGGAGCCTCTAAGGGCTAGCCGCCCCATAGACGAATCTCTTTTTGGCACAATCCGACAAACCAGATTAAGTAATCGAGTGGATAATACGGAGGTCTTGGTTGACTTTATTTCACAAAGCGCTTCAAGAAAGGCGAAGGCCTCTATGAAAAGTTGCCAAAACAATATAAATGCTGCTAGAGCTGAAAGCCTTCCTGGTCCGGAGGTTGATGCTATAGGTTCGTACCATGTGAGCACCCCATTTTATTCTTTGTGACTAAGGAATCTTTATAGTTATATTTGTAAAAATGGTAGCTATCTGGCGCCAACTTCCACGAGATCCAAATAGCTTCGAGAAATTGAATGAAGCTATCAAAGAAGCAACCACATATCTAGATGAAGCCGATAAGGTTTGTGAGGGGCAGTTCACAGGAGTAGACGACATGAAGGAAACGCTCGAGGTTGTTCGGAAACAACTGAGCGGCGGTACCTTTTATCAAGACATTACCGACCAAGAAATGGAGACTGTGGTGAGAGCTATGAAAGGAAGTCTGAGGTTTGAATTTTCCACTGGCCGTTGGTACTATTGTCAGAATGGACACCCGGTAAGCTCTCGACTTTACATCATTCATACATAGCGCTTTTACTAACTAGTAATTTGATAGTTCGCTGTGGGCGATTGTGGGAGGCCGATGGTAGAGGTCAAATGCCCAGAATGCAATGCCCCAGTAGGAGGGACCGATCATAATCCCGCTGCTGGTGTACGAAGCGCAGCCGAGCTTGACGCCATTATTGAGAGAGAATAGGTTTGGGGGGAGGCTATGAGAATGGGGTGGCTTTGACTATATTTCTTAGATGTTATGATTTTGGGTGTTTGTTTTCTTGATTGTTTATTTCGTTCCAACCTTTGTTTATTATTTTATCAGGATGATTTGATCCTAGCCGTCAGCCATGATATCAGTTTTTCTTTTCTCCAATGTCGTTCCTTGAGATTTAAGGCTTTAGTAGGAAATAAGGGTAGATACCCGTTAAGGCAACAATTGATGTCAATCAATGAAGATCCCTCCCTATATGACCGATGAACTAAGCTGCCTTCTTCAGGCAGGTTCGAAATCCGTTGCTTCACACAGAATCACTCGCTAAACCCAACCCCACGATCCTCGAATCTCCCAGGCACCAACCAATCCAATCAGCCTTACGTCCAACGGTAACAAGCGGGCCCTAGTGATGAAAACGCCACAAGGCGCAGGTATGTACTACGGTTGGTGTCTTTGTTGGAAATAGTGGTCCGATGTGTCTGTAAGAAGAAAGTGCGTAGACAGTTGTGTCACTCGACCTTTCTTTCCTTTTGGGGTGCAACGTCGATCTAGCGTGTTGACTGGGTACCTTGGGAGTCAGATACGGTTCGCAACTCGCAACTCGAGACCCTCGCCACGAGGTTGAAGTTGGAATACCAAGCCAAGGATGAAGATCGCTGGGCAACCAACAAGAGACTGTTTTGAACCAACCAGGGAGAGATGTGGTATAGAACATCGCAGTACGCCGCGCATCAGAGATTTCTCTGCTAGCTGGCGGAAAGCCCCCTAGGCCTGTTCGCTGTTTCTTCGTTGATCCTCGACCGTACCCCCTCCCCTTGCGTGCATAATTTAGTAGAGAGTACATACTTACACAGGAGTGCCTAATGTAAACAAATGCAATCTTCACTTTCCTCCAATAGGTAGTGCATATTTGCTATGTACTCATTAGCTGGAGGCTGCCCGTCGCGCATCGGTCCTTATCTCATAAACGGAGCGTTTGGTGAATAGTTGGGGTATCCTTGTTTGTCGGCCACGAGTTTAACATGACGTGACAGACAGACAGACAGCGGGTGGTTTGGGTTTGCCGTGGGTTCCGTGGTAGTATTGGTACATAATTTCAGAGTGTGAAACTTGGGGCGGTGGTCTGTGCCGTTGGCGGGGATGTAGGTGGGGGCGGGCGAGGGTTGGGGGTGGTGGGTAGATTGGATCGTGGCGCGGCGGGAAGAAGGATGGGGTTGAGGATATTGGAGCCGTGTTATTGCAGAGAACACTTTGGAGAGTACCTAGTATCGTGGAAGACAACATAGGTGCGGATGAGATATCCGATCCATAATCGACAAAATCTCTCTTCCTCTCTCTTGCATGTAAGCACCAAAGCGATAAGCGGATACGGGCGCCCGCATATTTCAATAGTATCGTTCACGGGGTATTGACGGATACTGAGTCACCGCGTTGACGGACAGGGGCTTTTTGACCAATAATCGGAGGTAAAATTGGGCTTGGGTGTCTTTCTTTTGAGAATATTATTTTTCCTTTTGCAAGATCAATTTGCTACCCCGGAATTTTTTGCTATCCGGTACGAAATCCTTAGAATACCGGCAATCCGGCATATAGAGTTTCGACTCAGGCATTGGCGGACACTGGGTATTGACGGATTGAAGGCAAAACTTGGCCTGGCTGTCTCTTTTTTGGCTTGTCCTTCAATATCTAGTATCCGTTAATGCCCCGTGAACGATAGTAAGTACCTTGTCGATCAAGCACTTTATATTCGGAGATTTTGTTCGGCAACTTGTGACTAAGAGTTATTTCTCCAAAGCCAAGTGAGAAGGGAGCCAAGATGGGGGGGGGTTCACCTGTCGAAATACTAACACATGCTTCAATTTCTTAATTCCCAGATAGGAAGCTATCGATAACCATTTCCACGTGCCCGGCGACGGATCAGCCACTAGTAAGCTGTTAACCAGGTACATAGGTTCTTCTGAGCACCCTTACCTCCTACCCTTTCTGGTATGTAGTAAGACTAAGAATTAGTAACCTCCTTGTACCCCGTCTCCCAAACGACGACATCAACCCCAGGCCATATCCTTACCTTCATTCCCCCATCCTCCTCCTCCTCCTCCTCCTCCTCCTCATCGCACCTCAGCTCCCTCAGCTCGCGCCACAAGCACCCAATTCATCTCGCAAATACCTAATCGTATCAAGCAGCTAGCAGAAGAGTGTCTCGTGTAACGCCCGGTTGGTGCTTTCGCCTAATGGTATCTGAATGAGTGTTATGTATGTACCCCTGCCAAGCCCTGGTCTCGTTGCATGGGGTTGGTTGGCTGACGGCTGCCATTGAGGGCGAACATGAAACGAAGCGACCCGTACCTACTTTAGGGGGGGGGGGGTAGGGGAGATTTGCTTTTTCACTGGTTCAGGGCTGAAGATACGGCAGCTTGGATCATGGACTTGGGAAATACGAGGGAAATCTCTTAGGTCGATTACATGCCCGTACTCTACTCGACTTGCCCAAGGTGCCTTCTGAGCCGGGATATCGCTGTGCCTGCGTGTAGTAAGAGCGAGCGGTAGTTGTAACTCTAACTCCACCGTCTGCATGCCCGCCGTGGAATTTGGGAGTCTGTCTTCTTGAAAAACAGCCGACTGACTTAGTAAGGGGGGGGGGGGGGGGGTAACCTTGAAAGACATTATGGCGCTGAGTGGGAAAATTCAAGGCTTACATCCAACAAGGATCTTGAAAATTTTCACTCGTCACACACATAGAGGAAGAAAGAAAAGAACAAAAAGAATGAATGGAGGATGTCACGGACCTTGCCATCAATGTCATGGTGGTTGACGTTCAAAGTTCCCTTTTCAGCGGGCTATGCAACTTGGGCTACTCTAGCGACACCATATTCCCGATTGGCCTGCACAAACACACCAGTAATATGTTTCAACCCAGCAGAGCCAATCTTTTTTTTCAAAGTGTAAGGGGAGGGGGAAGAAGCAAGTATTAACGTTTCGATCTCAGAACGGTTAAAGTTGTGCAACACTTCAGCTGCAGCCCGCTACGAGGGCCAATCATCAACCACAGGATTGGGTCCATCCCGCGCGGTTTTCTGCAGAGCCATCCCTGTGCTGCTCAGGGGGAGATGTCTGTGATGGGATGGGGATGTAGGTGCATCTCTTCAGAGAATCTAGATCCTTAATTCTGGAACCTATGGATCGAGGGGATGGGGTCATCTCGAGAGGGGTTGCACAGGTCGACCTATCAACTTTCATGATTGTGAGGGGAGAAATCTTGAATACAAATACTGAGTATTCCCACCCCCCAGATTGAATGGTTCTTTAGTTCTTCACCCAGCGGGCAGATACCTCCACGTTCTCTCACTTCACTCCTTGTTCGTTTCTTCTTTCCCTAGATCTAGCATCTTGAAAGGCACAACTCTTGAAGAGTTCCTTTATCCACTCTCTACCTCACGCATCTATATCAATACTGGTTATCACCGCTTCAACTAAACGAAAACCCCAAGTAAACCATTCAATATGAAATTCGCACTCCCTCTCCTCGCCCTAGCTGGCACCGCTTTCGCCCACAACTTCGTCACCCACTTCCACATCAACGGCGTCGCCGACCCCGACTGCGTCCGTCAAGCCGCCTCCGCCAACCCCATCCTCGACATCAACAGCAGCGACATGGCATGCAACGCCGTGCAAGGCCTCGCCAAAAAAAAATGCGTCGTCCAAGCCGGCGACGTCGTCGGCTACGAATGGCGCACTGACCGCAACATCGCCCCCGCCGACTACCCACTCAAGGACGGCTCCATCCCCGTCGGCGTCACCGACGACTCGCACAAAGGGCCCTGTTCAGTCTACATGAAGAAGGTCAGCGACTCGTCGACCGCCGAGGGCGAGGGCGACGGCTGGTTCAAGGTCTCCGAGGACGGCCTCGACTCCGCCGGTACATTCTGCAGCGACCGCATCCGTCTGGCCAACGCCCCCCAGGCAGGTATCATCCCGACAAACATCGAGCCCGGCGACTACCTGATCCGCGCAGAGATGATCACCCTCAACAACGCCGGGCCTGCGTCCATGGGCGGACTCGAGCAGCCGCAGTTCTATGTCGGGTGTATCCAGGCCACCGTCGAGGGATCCTCAGGCACAAACCCGGATACCGTCAGTATCCCCGGATATGTCTCGATGAGCTCGCCCGGTATGATCTACGACATCTGGAACTCGCCCTCGGGCACCTTCAGCGACTACACTGTTCCTGGACCCGCGCCATTGGAGGACCTGGTTCCCTTCAAGGCTGGTGTTGCGCCCTCTACCATTGGTGGCTCAAGCGGCTCTACCCCTTCCACCAAAGCGTCATCCACGCGCGCTTCTACCGCCGCCCCATACACCTCCCAGGTCGCCGCCACTTCCGTCCGCGCACCCGCAACAACCACTAAGGCGTACGCCGTCACCAGCACCCCCGCCTCCAACGGCGACGCCGAAGACGTCCCATCGAAGACCAGCGCCGAGGACGTCCCAGCTGAGACCAGCGCCGAGGACGTCCCAGCTGAGACCAGCGCCGAGGACGTCCCATCGGAGACCAGTGCCGAGGACGTCCCAGCTAAGACCAGCGCACCAGCCGGCGAAGCGCCTACCCAGGCACCCGTCGTTGTGGCCACAACAGTCACATACACCACCCTCGTGACGAGCTACACAACCGTCTCTGTCACCGCCGGCGAGACTATGTCGACGGTCGTTGTTGACGACTCGACCCCCGCCAGCGAGGTGGCTGCGGAGCCGACACACGCATATGGTGGACATGGTCACCGCCGCGGCGGAAGGGCGCACAGGAAGAGACATTACTTGTAGATTACGCCATGCAGCTCCCGGAGAGTGGTGTGTGGTGGTTACGTATAAAATAGCGGTGCTTGTTTTTTTATTGTTCTTGTAGATATTATTTTGTGTTTATTTTTTTCTCACTTCTTTTTGGAGCGGCCTGCGGGTTTCCGGGGGTTAGCTTTTTTGTATTTTTATTTTTGGTTTTGGGGGGGGTGGAGATGAATACCATAGCGTGGTTGTATTGCATATTAGAATCTGTGCCTATGCTTGTGCCTGTGCCTGTGCCTTGAATTCAGCTGAGAAGTGTGAAAAGTGTGATTTGAGCGACTCCTTACAGAGCGGGTGGTTGGGTGGTTAGGTGGTTGGGTGGTTGGGTGGCTGGGCGGTTGGGCGGTTGGGCGGTGCATGGGCTATCACTCGATGTGAGGAGTCGCCTATAACTCCCAACTAATGCATCACCAACCCGCCCGATTATGTAAAGCACTCCCAAAACTTGCCTCAAGTAGAGTGGGAAAACAACTGCACATGCACAGCAGCCCCTAAACCCCCTAAACACAAAAGAAAAGAAAAAACCCGGCCGCGGAACTCTAAAACCTATCGTCACACAACCTTAATATTACCCTCAGCGGCTGAAAACTGAAAAATACGGGCAGGTGCCGTATTACGTACCACACGGAAGGGTTCCTGTCCTATTCTCTGCCAGATCCGGGTATGTGTACGTCATATATTGAAGAGCTGACCTGGAACATTTCGCGCCCTCGAACCTTGGGGGGGGGGGGGGGGGGTGATTGGTTTACTGGCCCGTGATTGGTTAGTACAATATAAAGTGCTTACTAGCGGGCGCGGTTATAATAGTAGTAGCTGGCGAGTTAGAGTGGTGAGTATCAGAACCCGAACAAACACCAATGGCAAGTGTTTAGACGTGCAGTATTAATAGCACCAGCACCAGCTGTGGCTATACATACGCGAGAACAGTATAGTGGTGACGACGTTGCCCGTTTCAACCTACCACCCGTCTCAACCTCCCGTCCGATAATATCTGAAACGTACCGTCGGGTCGAAATAAAGATGCAGATATCCTCAGGTACACAAAGCCGGAGAAATATGGTGAAACACAGAGTATGGATACATACCAATCCCTGTTTGGTAGTGTCAATAGAGTAGGCCCACGGGCTATGTCTTTCAGTGCAACAAGAACCCTAACCCTAACGTTACTAGGTGGCGAGTGTTGGCTGCGAGTGAGAATTTGTGATCGTGGCGGTGTTTGCAGTTTTGACGGGAGGGTGCGACGTGTAGAGTTGTGTGGAGTGGCATCGTGATCTGCAGCAGCACCATACACTTCCTCGGCCGGATAACTAACCTCCCCAGCCGACCGAAACACGGCAAACAGTAGCGGGCCGAGTGCGGGTTTCGATATTTGCTCGGCCAGGTCCCCCGGGGGGGGAGGGGGGTGCATTTCGATCATGCTCGATCTACCAAGCTAAGCCAGCCAACAAATAAACGCCATAGTATTAGCCCTCAAAAGCACCACTAGAAATAATTGGTCAATCTCAATAGGTAGCATAAATATCCATGCCCTCGACCTTGCTGCGAATTGGGGGTGATAGTTGTTTTCTGAGATCATCTCTGTGAAGAACCCAGAGCGTAGAAAACGTATTGTATTGTATGAGTAGAAACAAAGAGGAGAGAGACGAAAGTTCCCTCTTTATAGTCACAAGTACAGATTAGAGGCCAAACTACATGTACCTCTAATACATACAAAAGTACAGATAGCTTAGAACAACGTCCAAACTACATATACATAATGAAACGTTAACAATGCAGTTGTTAACAACATCCACCACCGCAATGACTGACCACAATCAACAACACATTCGATGGCCAACTACCCTACTAATCTGCTATAGACACACCCCAATGCTAGTGCAGGACAACAAGTGTCGAAGCCGGTGTTGGTGCTAGTGTTAATTGCTTTATCAGCCATTATTAGTGCTACATACATGTAGTAGCTAGCGTCCCATATATGCCCGGGCCCTATATACATGTAACTACCACCGCCTATTGATGTGAGGAAACACAAAGGCACCACTGGTAGTGTAATATGGTGTCACTTCTATGTCTTTACACCTATCGTAGCCAATCCACTAGCGTGGCACGCGTGCGTCCTCTAGCTCCGCAATGACTGTGCACATGTACAGACTCAAGACGACATTCCCGTCCAGCCCATGACGGCCCACCAACAATACAATTGAGGATCTCTGCCCGTGAGGGTCAGGGTAGCAGAAATAACCCAACGCACACACTAGCATCCAGCTCCGTCCTACCAATCGCTCGTTGCCACACATTACATCGTCCCACCACCACCACCACCACCACGACCACCACGTACAGACCACAGACAGCTGTACAGACCACCCCTCGTGCCACAACCACACACAGTGCAGTACGTACCTAGTACCTACAAGCCTCCAAACCCAAGCCACACACACACACGAGCGTCCAAATGGCAAACACAAACCTCACCTTCAAAAAGCTCGTCCACAAGCTCTCCACGCCCGACGCCTACCAGCGCCTGCGCTCCAGCAACCACGACGACGCCATCCCCCTCCTGCGCCGCGAGCCCCGCGATCCCCCGCCGTCATACTCGCGGGAGGCGCCGCAGCAGGTGTACACGAGCTTTCGGGATGAGCAGGCTGGGGAGCAGCAGTGGGGAGAGCAGCAGCAGCAGCAGCGGGGGCAGAAGATACTGTGCACCGCGGACCGGTTGGCGGTTGGAATGGGGCTGGAGTACAAGAAGCGCGAGGTGCTGCTGAAGCGGACGAGCTCGAGTGCTGGGGTGGGCGGGGGCGCGTATAAGAGGGCGGGGGGCGGGGGGAGGTCGGGGAGTAGGAAGAAATGAGGTGGAGGAGGGGCTGGCTGGTTGGTTGGTGGGGAAATGGATTGGATTGGATTGTGATTGGGAATGTATTTTTATCTGGGGAGTTTTAGGATTCCTTTTTCCTTTCCGTTTTTTTCTCTCTCTTTCTGTTTTTGGCTGGTTTCTTCTTCTTTTCGCTTTCTTTCTTTCTGGTTGGGGGGACTGTTCTTAAATGCAGCTGGTCGTCTACCTCTCTGGCTCTTAATGGATAATTTGAGAGCTTGGATGATATCGGTGTTCATGCGTGATGTTCTTGCCAGCCAGTGCTTCTGACTCAACTCCCGCCCATGTAGGACCACGCAAAGGCACCCCTCCGTGGTCCTCGCTTCTTGGGAGTAAGAGCTTCTGCAAACCGGTCAGAAAATGAGAATCTCCTTACTGAGGATCATCCTTGTCCCTTGCGTCCGGCGGTGCTAATCATAGAATATCACTCGACACATCTATCCCTGCTATTCACCGCTATCAACCACCCCTCTGCTGTAATATCTTGATTAATATAGGTGTTCGTTAATAGAGCGATACTGTGTTTCTCCTAAGGACGTGAGCATACGAAATTATCCTTCAATTGAAGTCAGGATCAAGATGTTCTCCATAAGACAATATGTCTTGTGAGCTTTCGAACAGCTCAAGACCGAATCTCCCCAGTTCCGAGACAGGCTTTGCGATTCCCAAAACGTGCTAGTAAAATCAATGCTAATAACAAACTGCTGGCAGAAACCCTAGTTCATCGAGCTCCGAGCATGGAGATTATACCTTATCTCCAACCGTTAGTAACTCATCCATCAGTCTCCCAAACAGAAAACATCGCATCATAGCAGTACATACCGAGGAGTAGGTATAGGCCTCGTTATGCAAAATCTTTTGTTTAGTCTTGGCGCACAACTCCTCACTCGACTTCTTAAACCTTCTCGAGACGAGCGATTGATTGATAATTCACTCGAGAGGAGCGATGTAGTTTTGTTGTTCGTTGATTGTATTCAAGACGAGCGAGATAATACCTGATCTCGCCTTGAACAGCCACGTGCATTTACAATATTGAATCGAAGTCAGTTTATAGAATATAGAACCAAACCTACATAAACATGTCAGACATCTCTATCATACCCATTCGATCCCAGCCGAGATCTTTCGCCTACCTAAGGTGGGCTGTATCCTTAGAAGCTACCGTACGCCATCCTCCAGTCAGAAGTCCTCTATATCGTGAGCCCTCCGAGTAGAGCAACAGCTTTACTCATGGAGAGCATAGAACCCAACACACGTCAGCTCGGGGCTTTGGTATGGCTTGCATACGGGTGTCATAGTAGCCTGTCATTGCTATGATTTGTTTTGATAGTGGCCATATTGTTATGGACAGTAGCCTGCTGTGACCGGGTGTTGGGCTGCATGTATTTAGAAAGGGTATTGAACTACATGGCGAGAGGAAGAAAATGGGCTCGGGAATACGGATGTTACATGTATTTATATCTATATCCAGCATATGTACGCACACATGTATCTCGATGATGTCAATTACGTCGCCTTATCCATCTGTCCACTTAAAAAAAAAAAAAAAAAGACACATATTCGACGCAAAAAAAAAAAAAAAAAAAAAACTGTAAATAAAAAGAACAAAAGGTACTGCAGATATGGCCGGACCCATATCTACTACCCCCACCCCCGGGTTGAACCACGGACCTTCTATAGACGTTCAAAGGCCAGGCACAACCACACGGTGTTCCGGGGGGCGAGTGTTAACCGCTAGGCCACTCGCCCATGTGTGTTAGGGACCTGGACTCCTACTTGAACGCCCAGGAACGCCAAGGGCTGTTGGAGGGGACTAGCCGGTTTGGGTGCTAGTGCCTCCCGCCTTTTCGGCTGGCTGAGTCCACAACGCGTCAGGAAGACTCGCGGTCATGCTTCGCCCGTCTATACTTTACTTCTCAAGTGGAGTGTGCGCTGTGATGGCCAGACGCCCGAGACGGTGGTGGGCCTCTTCACCCCCTGGTCGAAGGGGAGGACACACCGAGTGATTATTCATGAAGTAGCCTACACCCAACCCCTAGCGCCGAATTCAACACCTATTAAACCGTCGAAACCATGCTGACACCCCTTCGATAAATGCCAAGAGGTGGCTAGATCCAATGGGGTTTGTCGTTTTGCTGATCCTTTACCCAATTGTGCTGTGGCTTTCGGTCTCACATTAGGGGTGTCAGCATCGCTATCGACGGTTTATGGGATAGTTGGAATGAGACGATGGCCCGGACATGGGGGCCAGCACTCATAAAATCCCTTAAACAGTCAGTACCAAATTAAATCCCAGCTACTAGTTGTAAATAGTAGGTATTCTCAATTCAGCGCAGTGTGTGAGCATACTCGCACGCTCGCGGATGTGGGGGCTGTGCTCATATCTTCACTCACGGCGTTTAATAGATCATGGTTACCAGATGCGGCTAGTAGCTGGGATTTCTATCAATCCTGACGGTTTAAGGGATAGTCCTGGCACGGTCGGAGAAATACTACACTCCTTTTCGTTTTTTACTGGCCTGGTAAAAGTGAAAAGTGGCCATAAAGGCCTGGCTGGTACCCAGAATAAGTGATACAGGCACACATAGGCACACAGGGCACACCGGCGCAACCCCAGTTAAGAGCAAAACTTCCCGCGGGGTCTCTAAGTCACTATATCATGTATCACACTATACCAATCTTTTTACTCTGTCCCTCCCCTCTTTGGACAGGCAGAGAGAGAGTAGAAAGACTGGTATGCGGGATTGCGCTTTCTGCACTCAAAATCCTGGGCTAGCGACGGTCTTTATGGGGGCCAATTATTCTCATTACAATGCATGCCCTGCATCTTACTCATACCTCATTAGTCTCCTCGGGGGGTTTCAACCCCCCGCCGCAAAACAGAAAAGTCCTGTATTATCCAACAATCCAAACTGGCTTATGTCCAGAACACAAATAAAGAGACCGAAAAAACAAATTTCATGCTTACCGTATCAACCAATACTACTAGCCAGGCCCCCTACCGAGGAAACTCCTCACACTCCTCTCCTCATCCACAAACACCATCTCGTCACCCTCACTCTCCACCACCAAATCCTTCTGCACCAACAACTCATTAACCCACTCCCAATCCCTCACCACCCTTCCCGCCTCCGCCCTCACACTCCTCCCATACCCGCCCACCCCCTCACCATGCACCGGCGTCCCCGTCCACGCCATCCTCTGCTCCGTCTCCCCCCACGCCCCGCCCCCACCACTCATAAACACCGCCGTCCCATTCTGCCTAGTCTCCATACTCCCGCCGCGCGGGAACACCCCGCCCTCACCGCGCTCCGACACCGCGCGGTCGACACTGGCCCAGATTGTAAAGTTGCCGCGCGCCGGGTCCACCAAGAACGTCGTGTTCACGCTGAGCGGCCACCGGAAGGTACTCGCCTTCCCTGTGGCCGCGGAGCTCCCCTGCGTAACCTGCTCGACGCACTGGGTCGTGCCGCCGGCGCTGACGCGGTTTGTGTTGGCGTAGCTGAGGCCCTGCGACCATGTTGCCGCGCGCGGGCCGGCCGAGGTGTTGATAGTTGCCGTGAGAGACAGCGCGCGCTGCGCCGTGATGAGGTGGTACAGTGTCGCATTTACGTTTCCGTCGTCTTCGGTCGTGAGTTCCGTTGTTGTGCTGAACGCCGTGGCGCCGAGTGATCTGCGGTGCAGCGCGCCCGTGGTGATCCAGTCCTCGCTGGGATCCGTCCACACGAACACGCGGCCGGAGACGATCCAGTCGTTTGCGATCTCCTCGTCCGGGTCGGCGGTCGCGACGCGGATCTCGAAGGTGGCGGGGGCGCCGAGGATGAGCGGGAGGAAGGGCGTGATGTCGATGGTGTACTCGGGGACGTCGTATGCGGCGATGCCAACGATGGGGCGCCAGAGCGCGGGGTTGATGCCGCCGGTGTAGATCTCTGCGAAGGGCCATGCGACGCCGGCGAGCTCGCCGTTGATGAGGAGCTGGACTTCCCGGAATGGGGATGCGCCAGGGAGGGGCGCCCCGGGGAAGGTGTGTGTGTAGGCGCTGGGGACGTTGGTGTACCAGAACTCTTCGTCGGCGTTGCCGGAGGCGGAGAGGGAGACGGTGGCGCGGATGGTGTTCAGGGGGAGGGTGTGTGGTGTGGTGGCGCGGTCGCGGGGGAGGAGGAAGTGGGAGGGCTGGTTTGTGGCGGAGGAGAGGGAGGAGATTGGGAAGATCTGGTTTGCGGGTACCGGTGAGTGGAGCGGGGATCTTGAGGGATGCGTTGGTGGGGTGTAGAAGGTTGAGGGTGGGGTGTAGAAGGTTGCGGTGAGGGTTGCGGTGAATGTCCCGGTGTAGGTGGAGTCCACGAGGTTTCCGAGGTCGAAGATCAGCTTTTGGGGCTGGTTAAGGAGCGCCGTGTAGGCGGTCATGTCTTTCATGTAGCTGTTCCAAAGTTTAATCGATATTCCCTAAGCTATTGAGATTGAGCAGGGCTAAGGTTGGGGGGGGGGGGGGGGGGGGCATACTTGAAGATAATACCAGCCTGTGTGGGCTCTGCAGTACTCGTCCGGAAGACCTCAACATCTCCAAGAAACAGCATGGCAAGCCTATCAAATTGCCTGCCTTTCGAAGTCATGGTGAGGTTAAAAAGCACATGTGTCCATCTGCACTTCGGCGGTGTATAGCTCCCTAGACAAAACTCTTAGCTTTCCGTTACAGTAGAAACAGAGCTTGCGAAGAACTCACCAACGAAAGGCTTCCCATAGCTCCATCCAAACTCATGCTCCATCAGCACAACACTGCACTCCTTCCCTCTCCCCTCATACGACGCGGGCAAGAACTCCGCGCCCACCCTAACCGGCGGATACACCTGAAACACATTCAACGGCGCCTTCACACCACCTTCCGACCCCTCGATCGCATCCTCCACCCCAATATCCTTCCAGGGCCTTCTAAGTCTGCCGCTGTAGAAGCCTCTCGGGGCCAGCAGAGTGAACACCAACAGCCCACAGGTAAGGAGCAAGAAGTAGACGGCGCATGACCGCTTCGGATTCTTCCTCGCCCCAAAGCTCTCATCCTTTATCTTCTCGCTGCGGGGCTCTTCGAACGAGTCGCGGAGGGTGTAGCCATCGTCGGAGTACGAGTCAGGATCCTCGGAAGGTGTTTCTTCCTCGTCGTACGGGCGCTTCTCGGGGTGAGTCCGCTTGAAGTCGAACTCGGAGCCAAACATGACGAGGCCTGCTCGTGTGGTGTCGAGGAGTTTATGTACGCGTAACTGGTTTCAGAGATTGACGAACGGTGGGGGTTGTTATCGAGATCTCGATATCTATGAGTGGTGTGAGTGGTTGCTCTCTGTGGGGTGGAGCTGTGACTCCCCGCGAGGTTGACGACAGCGCCAAGGCTCGGAAGCGATGTGATCGTTCCTCCGCGGATCCGGTGACTTGATTCATAATAGAACACGCCGAGTGATAAACTGTGATGAAACGGCCCTACCCCTCAAAAGCAGATTAAACAGCAACAGGCGGAAGCTCTCACAAACCGAAGTAACAAACTGGGAAACAAAACCCAAACGGCCTCATGCACTAAACGGGTAGAGACCAAACTATTGGATGAGAGAAGAGACGATGATGATATTAATAGGACTACAAAGCTAGAGCTTCCAGCTTTGTACGACATAATTGTGGACAGGTTGTCACACTACCTATTCCTCGCCATTAGTCTACAGTTGTAGTATCCCTTAGGTTGTCAGTCTAAATCGAAATCGTGACCGAACTAGAAATGGCTGAATGTGCTCAGTTGAACGCAATTACTATTCATTCTCTCCCTATCTCTAATGGAACAGGTGGAGCTTTCTATTGTGTGAGAGGAAGCTCGAGGACAGAATAGGCAGGAACTGCGTTTATCAAAGCATAGCTACCATATCTGGTTCGGTCACGATTTTGATTTGAACTGACCGCCTAAGGATACGTATGTATGTAGATAAAAGTCACGAGAGTACTAAGATATCGATACTTTAAACTGGGAGAACCGAGCGGGCCATTAATCCGAAGGGTAGGGCGAGAAAAATTTCTGGCGACTCCTCATATCTATTTTCTTCTTTTATACACAAAAAGAACAAAAGGTACTGCAGGTATGGCCGGACCCATATCTACTACCCCCACCCCTGGATTGAACCATGGACCTTCTATAGACGTTCAAAGGCCAGGCACAACCACACGGTGTTCCGGGGGGCGAGTGTTAGCCATTAGACCACGCACTCGCCCATGTGTGTTATTGGCCTGAAATGATTCTTGGCTTAACGCCAAGGAGCGCCAAGGCTGATATAGGCGACTAACCCTCTTAGGTGAGCTAGCGAAGGTACATGCATTTACCAACGGAATAATAAGAACGGCGGCAGACAACGTTTGGAGGAACGGCCGAGCGGTGAACACTCATGCTTCTTCTTCATCATATCCATCAACCTCGCATATTTCACTTCATATCGCCGCCTACAACCCATTCCATCAGCTAATACCAAAGGCCTCACTCCTCATCACAGGGTTACGATCAAGATTGGATTAATATAATGGCCTACCAAGTATGCCCGTCTCATTTTGTCTCCTTCGCTATTCGTCACCTCAGGGCATCTTTGTGTATTCTTTCTGTTGGCTTGGAGGTTGGGTTGAGACCCTGAGAGGATGGCCGCAGGATAGGCAATTGGGCGGGGGTCGCGTGTTTGACAAACCCAGAGGAACAGGTCGCCCGGAGATCGCGCTTTATCTGCGCTTCTTTGTTTGAGACTATTCTTCTCGGTGGCTAGCCGGCCGTTGTGAAAGAGTATGTCTACAAATTACTGCGGGGCCCGACAGCAAATGGCTTGGCAGAAGGCTTCGAGTGATGGGCTGTGACTGCCTCTCAACAGGCCGAAAACGAGCTCAAGTGGAAGGGAGTGCGCGGTGTATCACTCCGTCTTTTTCTATTTAATCGGACCGGAGGCCTTGCTGTATACTGAGATAAAATGTGCAATCTACTGGTTTAGGCCAAAAACTCAATCTTGTCCTCTGGTGGACTGCTTGAGGCTGTTGCCACATCTCTACCTCTCAAATATGTTCAATAATCATTTATGAGCACAGGAACATTGGTCATATATCACGCAGCTATCATTCCTCAGGGTCTTCCTTCACCTCAACCTTCACACCCCCCTCCTCCACAGCTGTCCCTTCGCTCCCCTCATACCTTGGCGCAACCGGCCCAATACCCCTCTCCTTCAGCGCCTTAAAACACATCCTTAACGGCACACCCTCCAACCCCGCCTCCGTCCTCAAATCCGCCAACGACATCATCTTCGCCTCACAACTCGTCCTCGACACCGCCACCAACCGGTCCTTCTCCTCCTCCGTCAGCCCCCGGGGCTTCCCCTTCTTCGCCCGCGACTGCAGGATCTCCGGCCTCGCCATATTCTCCCGACTTGGTTCTAGCCCTTGGTCTTTGGGGTTTTGTGCGGTCTCGCGGTCTGTCCGGGGGCGGGCGCTGGCGCTGGGGTGTAGGTCGCGCCCGATGCGCGCGAAGGTTTGGCCGTGATGGTGTTTTGAGACGATGGCGGCGCGCGTGCGGGGGCTGGCTTGCTTGCCGGGCTGGCGGGGGCGTGCGGGCACGGCGGGCGTGACGGGATATTCGGGGCGGAAGAGCGGGAGCTGGGGTCCTAAGGGATGCGCTGCTTCGGGGGCTGGGGGCTGGTTGCTTGTGCTGCTGTCGGCTATGACGGCTGGCCAGTTAGAAGGATCGCTCTTTGTGATCATTTCCAGCGGGTGGTGGGCATGTATCTCATTCATGCTCAGTTGCGCTTTGTCTGCTATGAGCTGCAAAGCTGGCAGTGGGATATCATCTTTTCTTCATTCTTATTGCTCAACGGGTAGCGACGGTATTTTATGGGGAATATTCGGTTCTACGTCATGAAGCCGGTTACCGTTTGGAAGTGTGTGTGCCGGATTGGAGCTGGTGGTATTGGATATACACAGCATGTGTAGTTTACATACCTGGACATCCCATTCACACACAGCTACTTATTCATCACTCACGGAAAATTGGCTGAGACGGGAAAGAAGCGATAGGAGCACCAAGGAAAGCCTCTCTGACTTTTTAATCTATGAGTAATGCATAAGACGAAATGCCGCAGTATGAACGCCGCACCGGATTAATTCGTCTCCACGGCCGGTCACTCGGATCCAAAGATGTTGGAATTTCTTAAGAGTAGTACACTCCACATCGGCTTCTAACAGGTTGGGCTTAGGTTCTTGACGTATCCAATAGTTATAGACTTCCACTGTATGGATCTATCCTAATGAAGGAAATGATAAGAATCTTTAATAGACGACAGGAGCCGTATTTTGCTTGCGTAGCACGTGCGTTGGGTTCTGGCTGAGCTGGCCGCTCGGGCTTTTTTTTTGGGGGGGGGGGGGGGGGTGGGGCGCTCGATCTATCCTTGGCAGGTGCCATGAGGTTATGGGATTTAGCTTTTTATTTTGACCCATAGATTCTGGTCAAAATCGTCATTACCAAAGCATACCATGTTTTTATAGCAAGCTTCCGCTGCATTAGCTCTTCCTCTTGCTGTATTAACATATGGACAACGTAGCAAAGGGTGCGAGTTAGTTAGGAATAGTTACTAACTGTCGACTCGCTGCTCCATATTATCAACTTTACGTTTCCATGAATGAGGCAAGAACCCGAAACAAGGTACCCGCCTAAGTCGATCTATATAACTAAGCCCTTCAGTTCCCCAAGTGCTGCACAGGACTCACAACACGAATTCACTTCTTTAATTTCACTCACAGAAGATCACTCGAACACCGTCCATCCTCTAAATCACGGGGTTACGCCGGATTAGAGCCCCCACTCAGATAGATCTAGAGTTGTGTATGATATGAATGAGGTTATGATTCCTTTTAGCCGCATTTGAGATAACAAATGCAATCGAAGCTGCTATTCTGATATTGATCTTGAAATGCGTACATGTATCTAATACCTCAAGGTATGCCAAAGAGCCAGCTAGTTTGGGAGTTTTTAAGTTATCCAGACCATGTTAGAAGAGAAATTTATAATATTCATTGGGGAAAGCTCCACGGGGTGATATTAAGGACCGCACCGCCCAGATTCACAAAAAAAGATCCTTTTTCACCTAGTCACTAGGAACGTTCCTCGCTATCGCCCGTGCTGGCGAGGTTCTGTATCGGAAGCAAAGTATTCATTTCAGCTATTAATTGGATTGAATTGATGATGGGGGCGTGCAGTGGGTGCAGAACGGGCTCTTTGGGGCCGGAGTGATCTTTTCCAAAAGGGCCGTTAATCGAAACAAGTGAAATAAGTTTCCTTTGGTAACTTACTGAACTCAAGAAAAGCTCGACTGAAGTTTGATCTACAGCCCTTTTTGAGGAACAGAGGCCTAATGGGGGGTAACGAGCCATACCAATCTTACAACCCCAGCCGATATAACAATTCCTCATTGCAGAACCTCTCTACTCCCCTATCGATCATGATATATTGGTACCGAAGAATAGAGCAAGGAGCTATAAAGTCGGTCATAGCCTATAAATGTGCTGAGATAGCAGTATGGCTAAATATATAGAAATCGAATCAACTATTGGGACTTGTAGCCATTATACTGTAGAGAAATAGAGCAAAAATGTAAAATTCCTAAGTTTTATCTGCTTCAAAGGGTACATGCTATGCTTGTATCAAGGGTATCCTTAGTAGGGTGTTGTAGTAATACGATTATTAATGTTGTCTCCACCGGGTACGCCTATATGCAGCTTGTCAGATAGATGACATCCTGGTCACCTATGACTGATATAGCACCTATTATAAAATAAACCTGCATCATAGAACTTAATGGAAATATTTTGATACTCATAAATAAATTATAATGTATATTTCACATAGGAATTGGTACCAACAACAAGTCACATATGACAAAGATCAATCAACTCCTGTCGGTAAAAACTCCACCAGCCTCCTTACAACATCAACAAAAGAATAAGAAGTTACCCTACGCGAGCAAATAACAAATACGTATCAAAATAGAAAAACATTTTTTTTACGACACCATACTTTTATATACATTATCATCCATCACAAGTCCCCTACCTCTCAAATAAATAATCGTTGGTTCAGCACCACCGGTATCCATTTAAATCCCAGTTCTACAAAATGCTAAATGAACAATACAATTACCTGGAATCATAAAAACCACAGTAAGCATAATCGAGAAGCTATGCAAGCTGCAGCAGTTTATTTTGAATTCAAGTCAAAAAACTATTTTATCAATAGCAACTGCATCCTTCGTTATGTTATTGAAGCCAGTGCCAGCTCCACCAAATAGTGAAATCTTTCAAGAGTCAATTGTTACGAACCTCACGCGACTACCGATACTATTGAACAATGGCTTAGCCTAGTATAGCATACCAGGCTAGACTATTCGCAAAGAAAGAATTTCTCAGTATGGGTTTCTGGAGTTTCCCTTATTATTAGTGATCATGTATTGTTTCCTATTACTTATAAGGATCTATTACCCCTCTTTGTACACCTTTCCTTTGTTCCATATTCAAAATATTGTTTTCTACTTCGTGTTTTTATTTGTAGGATTTCCTTCGCTACAATACTTACTTTATTTTCAAGCCATATTACCTTTACTGAATATAATGACTGCTTCTATCATCATCGATACTGTCCTTGTAATCATAGTTCTTGCTACTATTTTCATCCCTCTGGTTGATTACCCGGCTTTTGTTGTAATACTGTTGGTTCCCGTTACCATCTCCACCCTTCTGCAGACCACTATCTTCACTCCAGTACAAACTATTACCTTCGCTTTCGTACAAACCTTTATCCTCTTCCTCGTACAAGTATAACGGACCTATTTCAACTGTCTGGTGTGTGAGTATATACAGGGCATAGTTAAATGCTGAAACTTATTGTTCGAAGTCAGTTGCACAGGGATATGCAAGTACCGGCAGTGTGGTTAGCTACTAGCTGTTAGTGTAACTACATTCTGATCGCTAGGAAGAGAATCTATTCATGAGAGAAATGGCTGATGACTCTATACCTCACCGATATTTAGAAGACCGGCCAGAGTAAAGATATGAATGCTCGGTAATTCTCTGTATTCTCTGAGAATATCGGTCTCTCAATAGTAGCAGGGACTATGCCTAGGAAGTCTACAATAAGCAGAAGCTCTACAGCAATAATTAAGCTGATGCCTGATTGGTAGGTCATTTATCCAGGCATTAGTTGTGTGATAACCAAGACTGCAGGTGTTACAATGGCTTTGACTAAGGGTGGTTGCCTTGAGTATCAGAAATACCTACTAGCGTTTAGAGAAAAGTAGAGTAGCGCTGGTATTGTTTCCCAGACATATGAAAGGCGTAACCGGCACTTAGTAAGGAGTTAGGATCAGAGAATAGAAGTCTTCAGACTATAAGTAGTCAGGCTCATTCTTGCCCTTCAGTCCTGTTCTCTTCAATCTTAATAAAAAAAAAATCCAAGTTCTTATCGGTAGCAGAGCTCTTAAAGATTGAGTTCTAGCGATAGTATCTTTGAATAATGTGCAATCTGATTGTCTATCTTGCACGGCCGTCTCTATTCTATCCTATTCTATTTCTCTTAGAAGAGACCCCCTATTACGGCCCGACCGCCCCCACCTGCACTGCCGATGAGAATGCTACGGAATCGGATTATTAGGTGAAGGATCAGGAGGGCTTCGGTGAGGTTGGATATCTTAGGAAAGTGTTCGGAAGATACAGTAAGCGCTAGGCGCTTCGGGTTAGGTTGTAGAGAGAAGGATCGGGATCGGTTGTGTGATGTTATTATATTTGTTTGATATTTTCTTAGGTGTGGTTACGAGGATTAGTTATTGGGTTATTCTTTGGGGTTTATATTTGAGACTTTGTTCTTACTATTTGTACTTTTCTTTCTTTCTTCCTTACTCAACGTCTTCATTTTGTTCGTTAGTAAAATTCTACTCTGTTTCGATCGGTATTCAGCCCTGTCCCTTGTCCTCGTCCTAGAACGTATCCGAGTCGATTCTTGCCTCGGTGCCTGCCTATATCTTTATTATAGAACCCCGCCCCGTTAGACCTCCATTACAGTGGTTGAGGCCGCAGAAAAGATTATGGAGATGATTGTGGTTATGGAGGAAATGGTGATGGAAAAGACGGAGAAAGCAGTAGAGGAGGAATTGGAAAAAGCAAAATATAAAGAGATAGAGAGCTAGCTTAAAGTGGTAGTAGAGGTATGGTTTGGATACGCTTAAAGGTGAAATGGAAGGATTTGGAAGTGTAAAAATTGTTGCCGTAAGGTGAGTTTTAGGCAAATCAGAACGCATATTTCTAGCATTCTTGCTTTCTTACTGCCACAATTCACTTTTTGGATGTATAAATGGGTATAATACTGTTCAACTTTGCTTAGTCTTGGCACTTTTTATATACAAAAATACAGGATTTCAAGCTTCTAAGGCTTCACAACTAGGATAGATATCAAAAATCTGATTATACAAGTTAAAATTGATCACTTGTACTTCAATCTGTATGACCCGATTTTTTTTGATTTTTTTTTTTGAAAAGCATTAGGCAATCGACTTTGCATCATTTTTCAGTTACCTTTAATAGCGGGTGCACCATAGTTGTTAATAACTTGTTATAATTATTACTCCTCTCTCAAACCTTACCTTTTAGTCATGTTTGGAATAATCTCTAAATCATCTTATTGCTGTTAATTCCAATTACAATAGACCTGCAACTATGATCAACCCCGAGTCCTCATTATATTTGATGTTTAATATAATTTCATATTTCTAATTCTTGTTCGGTTTTATGAAATGTTCTCTTTGCCTTGTCTGATAATTTTGTGTTAGATTATATCAAATTCGATTAGATTGAATTAGATTAGGTTATTTGATACAGTAATTGCATAGCTTTATATTCCTCTAAGAGGACTTGATAATTCTTCGTGAATTTCAGTAAACCGAATGATAACGAATGATGCAGCTGAGCTTGGAAATACGATTAATACCAGATAATCTCTGCTGTAAGATGCTTATCAATAAAAGTGTTCTTGCTAATAATTTATTTTTAATCAAAAATATCGCAGTGCTGATAAAGCGCTGGTAATTTTCTGACAATGATCAAATTGGCTATCAGAAATATTCCACTGATGCAGCACATACTCCCTTAAAGTTTGCTCAACTCTTTCAAACTCGATATAAAGAACATGAAGGTTCAATGATTGAAGGATATGATATCAATATTTTTCAACAACTATTGACTCCATTACCAGCCCCAGTACAGAGGAGTTAATCAATACTTACAATAGCTATCACCGCCACCTAATGGATACAGAAAAGTCTTCATTGTATTTCGGAAACCATTAGTAGCAGTTGTAATGGCAGCTATGTATTTCGGCTAGGTAATAAATTGGAACGAGACGAGGAAGTATTGTGTAGTGGGATTAGGATTTGTAATGGGGATTTCTGTTATTTTCTTTTAGTTTCTGTTACGCGAAGGTATTAGTCATCATCAGACTATGGTTAGATATATAAGGGGGCGTTGCTTCGTTCTTTTATTTGTTTTCTCTCTTTCCTTCTTTCTTTAAGCAACCTCTGTATTCATTCTACGAATATTACTTTTGTTCTACGCTACGTCATAGGGCTCATCTTGGATCCTTGATCAGGATTGAATCACCCCATAGTCTATAGTTCCGAATCCCTTGATACTACGTCCTCACCTCGGTTGTATTCCTTGGCACTATAGCCCCTCGTTCATAGACCCACGTTATAGCAGTGGGGATTGTTCTGGAATGTTGGTATTTCAAATTTCTGAGGATAATATTGACAGTTTTGAATGATAGTAGCTCTTGTACACTTTCATACAGTATAAGTATGAAGCTCAAAATATCTTATTGAATAGTGTCTATGTTACAGTATTTATTGTATAATGGTAACAAGTTTCAGCTACACCCTATAACCAGATATATCATAGAGACATGCCTAGGATTTCATATTGCTATATATACCAGTGAGGGTTCAACCACTGTTTTATTCACTCAACAGTTGCTACTAAATATGTTCGTATCGACCTGTTATGTTAATACTGTATCATTATAGTATCAAGTAAAAGCATGTAATCTCTATACGTAATTCTGTAATCCATGGCTACCATGCTCGATTTCTTTCTCGTACCGTTCTATTTCTTCTCTTGCGTTTCCATGTATCATTTGTGCACCCACTTATCGTGTTCTTTTGAAGGAGGTGAGTAGCGAGTATTCTGTAGGCTACGATGGAGGTAGTAGAGGTCGGTGGGGGAGCCTGCAATAGGGGTCCTGGGGGACTATAACTTTGGTAGGGGTTGAACAGGACAAGGGAAGCAGCAGCGCGATGGCCTTCTCAAGTAAAGAAGAGGAGATAATATTGTATAGTAATAGACAGCGTAGGTACAGAAGACATTGCGTATCAAAAGAAAGAAGAGAAAGAGAACAGAACCGAGGACGAAAACATCCTAATATACGCAAGGAAATCTCAGCAATAACAAATCTAAAGTGACTCATACCCTTGCGACTGATAGAACCCAATAGAACTCAATAGAATCTTTCTGACTAATCCAACTCCTCGTAACCCAGTGTATTAACTAATCGATCCATGAAAGTTCTGAATCTTGCCATTTCCAACTTACCTGTTAATAGAGTTTCTTCCATCTGCTGAAGCATTTATTATTGAGCAGTGGCAATTTCCTATTCCGCGTTCAAATCGTCAGTGATGCCTCCAACTAGTAATACCTGGGAGTTAGAATCTGGGCAATCATATGGATTGGATTTAGGTCCGAAATTGCACTCTAGATATTACTTTACTAATCTTACTTTTTGGAGGTAGCTTGAGCTTGAGTGCTCTCCTTTAGCTGAAGATCTCTAATATTTTGTATGTACCAATGTGTTGGGCTGCCAGTTTTTTTTTTTTAATGGACGGGAGCGTATATCCTTTCTTAAGAAATATGTAAACGTATATTGATGAGAAGCTGGCTCGGATCACCTTTCATTGTGCTGCTTAGTCATTACTTTTGAACGATAGCTATGGCATCTTCCGGGATCTTTCGAATCACTTGAAATTCCTGTACAATGTTTCTGGTTACATCCGCTGCTTTTTCCGATGATATCAAATCGATGGATAACCGTACTCCAAACCTGTACATAATCTTATTGGATGATTGGTCTGTTGAGTTTGAATGGCTGTTGTTAAATCCGTTCGATTGTCGGAAGATGATGCACCCAATCTTGCTGGCGACCATCAACATAGAAGCATAAAGTGATTTATAGGGACTGGTTCCTTCTTTCCGATTGACTATTTCTGGCAGTCTGCTCTGAGCTTATTGAGATTCAGTGTGTCCCCTGCGCAAATAAATATCTGCTTTTAAAAAGTCCTATAAAGCAACTGTACTTCTTACTGATTATGGTTTTCGGGAATTCCTATAGAATTACCACTCTGTTGTAAAATTTGTTGGCCCATTCGATAGCATTCAAATCATTCCTTCCTTCAATAAAGCGGACCATTTTGCTGTACTTGTCCGTGATGGTCATGATTCAATCGTGTAGTTCTCCTACTCATCAGTCAGGTTTTCCTAGATTACGATTGCCGCAGAAGAGCAATTCAGTGACTAAATCTTGGGAAGGGTTATTCAATAGTATGGATGATGATATCACAGGCTGGAGGTAACTATAAGGCTTATGGTTCATTGTTTTGTTCCTCATATATCCAGAGAATCTTGCTACATAGATTTTGACATGATGACCTATATGTTCCCATGTAACGGCAACTATGTATTTCGGCCTAGGTAATAGATTGGTATGAGACGAGGAGGTATTGTGTATTGGGATTAGTATTTGTAATGGAGATTTCTGTTATATTCTTTTAGTTTCTGTTACGCGAAGATATTAGTCATCATTGGACTATGGTTGGATATATAAGGGAGTGTTGTTTCGTGCTTTTGTTTGTTTTCTCTCTTTCCTTCTTTCTTTAAGCAACCTCTGTATTCATTCTACGAATATTACTTTTGTTCTACGCTACGTCATAGGGCTCATCTTGGATCTCTGATCAGGATTGAACCATCTATAGTTCATAGTCCCGAATCTCCTGATACTACGTCTTCGCCTCGGTTGTATTCCTTGGCACTATAGTCCCTCGTCCATAGACCCACGTTATATCCCAATAGAAAAGATTGACAAGATTATCGTATGTGTATGCTAGGCCTTGATTTCTTTCGTGCACTAATGCGAGTGCTTGTACTTACAGTTCCTTGACTGATAGTACTATGCGTAGTATATCGTCCGTTGAGTTCATGAAGAAAAGATGGCCGGACATAGTACTGAGCGCATATTGAGATATTGATTGTAGGACCCTATAAACATACATCTTATCAGTTGACTTGGCAAGGATCTCACAAATATCATGATAGAATGAGCTCTCTTGCACTACTTTCCTAATGTGGACATGCAACCCGTATTTAGTTGCAAAGTAGGATTTCGCAGTGTTAGTTCCTCGGCTATTGTATTCTCCCATAAATGCTTCAATGACTTCGAACCTATTAATGTATGGGAGTTTGCCTATGGTCTCTGCTTTATTCTTCTGGTTCTTTTCCCTTTTCGATAGGGTGTAGCATAGCATTGATAACGCGTAGAGTACTTCCATTTCAGAATCTTTCCTATTTATTACGGATATGTGATCTCTGAATTAGGTTAGGTAGATGCCCCAATTCTAGAGGAGGTTCGATTTGCCTATGGAGTTATTTGCAAATCCGTTCATTTTAAAAATACTTATACTTGCCTCATAGTCAGTATAGAATACCGCTTTCACCTGTGCTAGGTATGGACACATCTTCTTGACAGCCCAGATTAAGCTGGATATCTTCTTGTCAGTTGGCTAGTAATTTTTCGTGGCCTTTATCAATTCCCTTGAGAAAAACAGTATTGATGCGAGGTTGGTTTTGAGAGATAATGATATGGCTGTATCACATTGCTGGTAGACACCAATACCTATACTGTATTCGGGTGATGCATCGAGGAATACGTGTATGATTTGGTTTGTTTGCAAGTCTCAAGGGGGCGAGTAGCAAGTATTCCGCAGGGTACGAGGGGGGTAGTAGAGATCGGTGTGGGAACTTGCAATAGGTGTTCTGAGGGACTCTAGCGTCGGTAAGGGTCAACGGAACAAGAGGGCAGCAAGCGGTGATCTTCTTGAGTAAAGAAGAGGGAAATAATATTGTATAGTAATAGACAGCGTAGGTACAGAAGACGTTGCGTAAAGAAAGAAAGGAAAGAAAAAGGAACAAGAAACGAAGGCGAACTCTCCTAATATACCCAAGGAAATCCCAGCGATGACAAATCCAAAGTGACTCATACATTAACGACCGACAGAACCCGATAGAACCCAATAGAACCTTTCTGACTAATCCAACTCCTCATAACCCAGTGTATTAACTAATCGATCCATGAAAGCAAGTGAAAAAGTGGTGAGCTTGAGCCCAACACATCTCGGACATCCTCGAAGGAAGCTATGATCTCAACGGTGATTGAAATGAGGGTCTATGAAGTGTATATCTTGCGGTTTTGATCTGTAGAGGCTAGTTTGATCATGCGTGCTCTTAGCTGTGTAAAACGTTTTATGCCCTGGGAGTAGTAAGGTATTGTAACGGAGCCATTTCAACTGTCTGGTGTATGAGTACACACAGGGCCCGGTTACATGCTGAGAGTTACTGTTAGAAGCCAGTTGCATGGTGATATGCAAGTACCGGCAGTGTGGTTAGCTACCAGCTGTTAGAGTAACTACATTCCGGGTGCTAGGAAGAGGATCTAGTCATGGGAGCAATGACTGACGAGTCTATGTCTCGCCAGTGACTAGAAGACCGGCCAGAGTGAAGCTCTGATTGCCCGGTGATCCTCTGTATCCTCTGAGTATTGTAGGACCGCCGAAGAGGCAGGGACTATGCTAGGGAAGTCTACAATAAGCGAAAGCTCTACAGCAATGATTAAGCTTACATCTGAGCGGCAGCTCATTCATGCAGGCCCCGGTTGTGTGGCAACCAAGGTTGCAGGTGTTACAATGGCTTTGACTAAGGGTGGTTGCCTTGGGTATCGGAAACACCTGCTGACGCTTAGAGAAAAGCGGGGTAGCGGTGGTATTGTTTCCGGCACCGAGGAAAGGTTTCACCGGAACTTAGTAAGGAGTTAGGAGCAGAGAATAGAGGCCTTCGGAGTATAAGTACTCAGGTTCATTCTCGCCCTTCAGTCCTGTTCTCTCCAGTCTTCATTAGAAAAAAACATCAAGTTCTTATCGGTAGCAGAGCCCTTAAAGATTATTGAGTTCTAGCGATAGTATCTTTGAATAATCTGCAACCTGATTGTCTATCTTGCATGGCCGTCTCTATTCTATCCGATTCTATTTCTCTTAGAAAGGACCCCCGTTACAGGTATCAAGTGTCGGTTCCAGTTTGTAAGACCTTTGAAGTACTCCAGTTTGTTCAACTTAGGGGGGAAGGCCAGGTTGAGGTTAGCAGCTGGTTTTACTTCAGTGATGGTCAGCCCCACCCTATCTATCAAACACCTAACAACTCCAAGTATCTAGATTTTAGGAAGCATTTCTTGAATCTCAACATTATGTCTAGATTTGCTAAAATTCTGAAAACCTCATCTAAGTGCTGAATGTTGTTCTCGAAACAGGAGGAATATATGCAGAAATCATCGACAAACCAAGAGACGAAATACCAGGTTAGGGCTGTAAATACGCATTCTATGAGTAATTACTGATACTACACTAATCCCTTGTATCGCATAGCTGAGATGGTGAACATTTCATAGCCCCTATGGGTAACAATACCTGAATTCTATCTGTCTTCTGTATAGATCATCCATTGATAGAGCATTCTAGTGATGTCTAATGCACTAATGAAAGTGTAATGGGGCTCTCTTCTCAGAGAAAATAGAATAGGATAGAATAGAGATAGCCATACAATATAAACAATCAGTTTGCATCTGTAACGGCAGCTATGTATTTCAGCTAGGTAATAGATTGGTATGAGATGAGAAGGTATTGTGTAGTGGGATTAGGATTTGTAATGGGGATTTCTGTTATGTTCTTTTAGTTTCTGTTACGCGGAGGTATTAGTCATTATTGGACTATGGTTGGATATATAAGGGGGCGTTGTTTTGTGCTTTTACTTGTTTTCTCTTCTTCCTTCTTTCTTTACGCAACCTCTGTATTCATTCTACGAATATTACTTTTGTTCTACGCTACGTCATAGGGCTCATCTTGGATCTCGGATCAGGATTGAACCACCTCATAGTCTATAGTCACGAATCTCTCGATACTAATTCCTTGCCTCGGTTGTATTCCTTGGCACTATAGTCCCTCATCCATAGACCCACGTTATAGCAGATTATTCAAAGATACTATCACTACAACTCATTAATCTTTAAGGGCTCTGCTACCGATAAGAACTTAGGTTTTTTTTCATGAAGACTGGAGTGAACAGGACTGAAGGGCAAGAATGAGCCTGACTACTTATAGTCCGAAGACTTCCATTCTCTGCTCCTAACTCCTTAATAAGTTCCGGTGACGCCTTTCATCGGTCGAGGAAACAATTCCACCGCTACCCTACTTTTCTCTTAGTGCCAGCAGGTGTTTCCGATACCCAAGGCAACCACCCTTAGTCAAAGCCATTGTAACACCTGTAGCCTTAGTTGCCAAACAACTGGGGCCTACATGAATGAACTATCAATCAGGTTTAAGCTTAATGATTGCTATAGAGCTTCTGCTTATTGTGGACTTCCCAAGCATAGTATCTGCTATTACTGGTTGAACTGTATGATGAGAGGATGCAGAAGATCACTGGGCATTCAGAGTTTCACTCTGGCCACCCTTCTAGTAACTGCTAACGCATAGACTCGTCAGTCACTGCTACCATGAATAGATCCTCTTCCTAACCCCCAGAATTTAGTTACTCTAACAGCTGGTAGCTAATCACACTGCCGGTACTTGCATATCACTGTGCAACTGGCTTCTAACAATAACTCTCAGCATGTAACTGGACCCTGTATGTACTCATACACCGGACAGTTGAAATGGCTCCGTTACAGAAAGTCATACCATTGATATTAGACAATATGTCCTATTGGCAGTGTAGAGGATAGAAATCACCTGGGACCAACTGATTAAGAATACGCATATCAATTTCCAGCTTTCCCTTTCTATTGTGTCTCACTACAAATACCTGCATAGAGTATAGTAAGGGGCAATAGATGGTAAATATATC